CATTTTATTTGTGTCCCAAAAATTATCAGGTAGATCGCCAAGAATTCGCATGAGCATTGTTTTGCAAGATTTGAAATAATCTTGAATCTCTGGATATTAAGATGTGAAATGTTAAGACGCACTTAATTTTAGAAGAATTCTGAGCCTGAAAAATACTTTGATAGACTTTGTTTGAGTAGCTTTAGAGTTGTCAGTATGATACTTATAATTTTTATTAGTCTAATAGAACAATGATCGATTAATAGTGCATTCTGAACAATTTTGCTAGAAATACTTACTGCTTAGTCTAAAATGCATGATCACTTTAATTTTAAAAGAAAGTGCTTTAAGTAAAGCAAGGTACAGAATGGAAAGATTTTACAATTTCTAAAGTCACAATCCTGAAAACAAAAGGTGAAATTTATAAGCCGGAAAGCATCAAATTAAATACTATGACAAAAAAGCAGCCTCTTGTGCACATTAAAGGAGCAAAGAAAATTAAATTTAAATCTACAGCACTAAATTTAGCATTCAGACGACAGATATTAAAAACGACAATTTACACGACAATTTTTTAACATTTCCATAGCAATTTACAGAAACTTACTAATGTTGTCATTTCCTTTTTCAAATCCTTAAGTATTTGCCATTTCCTCAGGAGAAAAAAAATTCAATTTAGCGAGACTAAAAGAAGAAAATCCAACATCAAATAAGATGAAAGGAAAGAAAAGAAAGAGATTAAGAAGTTTTTGCAGAAAAAAAAACATAAACGTAAACAAGCCGGTCCAAAAGAAAAAGAAGAAGGAAAGAGAAAGGAATAAAATAATTTAGCTCAATTAGAACAAAAGAAACTCATTTCTACGCTCAATTTTATTTCTTCATTTTCAGTGAAATAATTTAGTAATTTAACATGCCGAAAATCATTCACATTAATCATTTGTCTTCTTCCTTCCTTACTTTTTTATTTTATTTAACGAATTTTATGTGAATATCAAGTGTATGCAAGCCTCTTTCATCATCATCATAATAATCATTATGTGTGTATAAAGTATTGCAATTAGTTCTTTATTTCCTGGGATCCAAAAAAAAAAAACACAAGGCATAAAAAAGAAGGAAAAATGTTTTTAATGATAGTGGAGAGTTCATGTGCGTCATGTGTCTTAAGAAATGCTAACAAACTGTCTTCATGTTTGTATTTCATCAGAAATTAATGAAGAAAAAAAAAGAGGGAAGAAAAAGATGAAATAAAAAATTCACATCGAACTGAAGAGTTTCGCAAGAAATTCTCATTTCCATCATACTTACTTGCTCCATTATTTTTACCCAAAAAAATTATATTTATTTTTATATGTACACACACAAGAAATGAAAATTGAGTAAGACAGAAAGAGAGAATATATACTTAGATAGACATATATGCGCCTATATGGGTGGTCTATAGAGACTTGAAAATTATGCGGCATGCGGATATGTACGTGGATTTTCATGCATCGTGTAATTTGCGAGCAAGCGAGAAAGAACAAGAATGGAAAACAAAAGGAAAAAAAAAACTGAGCGGTAGTACCAAAAAAAATAATATTTTTGGCTGCCTTGTGCGCTTCATCATGAACGTATGTACGAATAAGTTGGAACAAATTTTCCCAAAAGGGAAAAGGGCGTTATTGTGTGTCTTCTTGTCTATCTGCATGTCACTCGGATTGTTTGCTTGTTGATGAAGTATTCATCAGAATTTATTATAAATATGGGATGCTAAAAGACTTTGAGTGGGTCTTCAAAATATGAAAATGGACATTTTGGAGATTTTGACTTGATTTATGACAGATTGTTCAATTTTAATGCATGCATAGATTTAAACTTTTTTTTTTTAAAAAATACTTAAATATTCAGAAAATTTCATTTTAAGGAAATGTCATCAGCAATGTCCTATTCAATAATATTCCCAACCCACCTTAACGAAATTTCGTACTTGATTTTTTTTTGTACTGACGCGATTGCTGTTCATGTCATGAAGGAAGTTTTAATCAAAAAAATGAAACACACAAAAAAAAGAGAGAAGACAGGCAGGCATAAACAATTTGCCATCACGTCTTTGAAGATCTTTTTTCATCCTCATCATCATCATCTTGGCTTTCTTTTAACATTGACACAATTTATGCAGCATCATCATCAGCAGCAGAATCTCATCTACGTTCATTTAAGTTATTTATAAATATCACGAGAAGCTTATGCACAGTTAGTACAGATTTCTTAGCTACTGATGCATCAACTACTGCTACATGATTCATGACATGGCAAATATTCAGTTACAATGTAGAATCACGAAAATGATCAAGATAATAATAATAATAAGAAGAATAATGAAGTCCTCAATGTGGAGTTTTTAAAAAATGAAAATTATGCATGTCTAATGATTGAATATTACCACGTAAAATAAATGGTTAATGAAGCTATTAAAACATCATTCATTTCCATTTTCATCCTTTCTTTTCTCATCCAGTCTCTCTTTTCATCATTCAGTTCTTATGCCGGTGGATATTCCCTTTTTTGTTTCTTCATTATTTTTTATTATTATTGAAGCAAGTATTGATTGCCTTGAAACTACTTCATGTAGATAAATTCAAAGAAAAGAAGACGATGAAAAGACAAAAATAAGTTGAAGAATTAAGAAGATTTGAATCAAATTTTTATGCATTATATAATTAAAAATTATAGTCTTTGTTGTAGGCTAGACAACAAAGAGTTTTAAATTTTACGGCACTAATCAGAACTTCATGCAAAATTGCTTGATGTTGTTTGCATTTCCCATAGGATTTTATACTATTTTTGCTCATTTAATGCTCAACTAAGTTACTAATGCTTCAAAGAGGAAATTCGAAAATGACGTCTTTTATACAATTAGATTTTAATCCTCTGTTCTGTTCCTTACAATAAATTTACCTCAAAAATATGTCATTCAAAGAAATTTATCGAGCAAATAAGTAAAACTTTGTGTCACAGAAACATTTGTTATAAGTATAAAACTATTGTACCTGAAGATTTAGGAAATTCTCATGAATTTCATTCTTCTTGTCCTTAAAGATTCAACAACAAAGCATGTCTAAGAAAGAAAGAAATCCACAAGCAAATATTCGAGTGAATACCACAAACAAGCATGGAAGAGGAAGCAAGAAAATCGATGGAGTAAAAATTTATGTGCAATAAAAAATATTAAATTTAAAAACTATTTCCACTATTTTCTAAATATCACCTGCACTTAATTGCTACTTGCTCTTTTCGTTCGCCTTCTTCTTTTAGAACTTTTACGTTTGCAATAATCATTTTAATTACCAACTAGAAGGTAGAAAGCAGAATGTGAATTTATGCTGGAATAAACATGAAACATATTTCTGTAGCTTCATTACTCGACTTATTTCCAATAAGTAATAAAAATAATTTTTAACTGCATTCATTTGCACATTTTAATACATGAAATAGCTGTTTTGCTTCGGATGCTTAAAAAAACTAAAGTCGAAGCTGTAAGTACACGGACACTTTGTGGTTAAAATTGTTTGTTGAGGCTTGCTTGATTTTGTAATGAAATACGGTGGTTTTGGAGATTTTCAACACTTTATGGTGTTTGCTTAAAGAATTTCTAGACACCACGAAGATTTTTTGTTCTTTAAAGATCTCTTGTGGTCTGTTTCGGCATGTTGGCGAAAAGTTTAAATTGATTTTTTAAGCATCCATTCTTTATTGTAGCTATCATTTATTTCCAAATTTGGAAGTACAAAGCTATAGTCGGTTTTTAAGGGCCATCTAGGGCACACTAGAGTTAGATAACTATAGACAATATGGAATATGGAATATTGATACTTAGATTTTATGTCAACGGCACGTACTCGAATAGTTCCAGAAACCAGTTCCTGTCATTGTCAGAACTCCTTTCTATGAGTGTCCTTTGGTATCTAAAACTCAGCCTCAATAAGCTTATTTACTGGAAATTTATTATGCACATCTCACAATATCAGTCTAAGGTAGCAATTCCTCAACATTTCAGTGCCTTCTAATACATAAACAGAAGAGCAATAAATCATACAAAAAACATTTTTGAATTACATCTTTAAATCACGTTCAATAGCAATTCACAAATAATTGATAAGCGCATCATTAAAATGCCGAAATATTCATTTGATTCTGATTGATTTTGGACAGTGCTCAAGACATGCACAATTTTCACCATTAACCTCTCAATTCCTTCTTGCATGAGAAAAAGGAAAAGAAAATAAATTACAAAACAGGCAATGAAGATAAAAGCAAGAAGCAGCAACCAGCAGCACCAGTAGTAATATTTGAGCTATGTTATGCTGGATGGAAAGAGAAGAATCATGCTCGTAAAAAAACTGAAAAATGCCAGGTGTATTCGCTGCTGTATCATGGAATTAATTGAATTTTTTAGTTCTTCTCTTCTTCTTTCTCATCTCTTCCTTTGCTTATATAGAAATTTCTATGTTGTTTTTCGCCTTCCTCACACAAACAACTGTACAACTTCACATACATATATTAGCCTGCTTGCTTCGGATACATTTCAATGAATCATTTTTATATTTCTTTTACCTACGTTTCGATTTCTTTTCTTTCATTCTTTCCATCCATTGTAAAAAGAGCATGGCAAAAAGAGCAAAATAAGAGAATTTTTCTTACAGATGGATATGAAGCATGTACATATGATGAAATAAGATGGAATTGGATGAGTGGATATAATTGTAGTGAAACAATCAGAATGAGCTAAAAGAATCATTAATTATGCTGCAACAAGAATTTTTTGCAATGAGTTTCATTTGAGGAGGTTTTTGGTTCCGTTTCTTGAGTTTAGTTCTTCATATGCCAATTCATGTTAGCATTTGAATGTTTAAGGTTAATTCATAGCATTGTAAAACTTTTTTAATTCGACTTAGTTCTAGTCGATTAACTGAACATTAGTGCTGCATATATTTCAAGCTTTAAAAATACAAAAAAAAATAAAAAAATTTTATAGACATCATTTATAAAGATCCCAAAAAAATAATTTTTACTCTTGCCTTACTTTTTTGATGAAAGAATTTTTTATTGCTGCCTTTCCAAAAGCATAACATTCAATTTCATAAAGCATGACATTTGAAATATTAATTTACTTATTGTGCCTGTTATGAATGAAGATGGATTAAATTTCAGAAGATTTTTGCAACGATGAAAAATTCATTTCCATTTTCACTTTCAAAGTTGAATTCAGTCACTTTATTTGTACAACTGCACAGTTTAATCGAATTCCAGTAAATGATCACCACCTTTTTTATTTTTAGATCTTGCCTTAATTTTATGAAATTTTCTTGCCTTTTCCATATCAATTTCTATGTTATTTGTTTGTTCTATTATTTTCTGTTTATGCTCAATTATGTTTTTTCTAAAATCAGCTAATGCTTGTGATTCACTGTAGCTTTTACCGCCATACTCTTTTGTCATTAAATTCTGATCCACAACTTCCCACATTTTGGATACATTACTCATCACTTTTAATCTGTTCTTATTTTTATCATCCAAAACAAATCGAATTGCTTTAAAAAGTTGGACAGCAATTGATGGCACTCCAACAGCATAAATTTCCTTTACTCGAATCGCGTTTACATTCACATATGATGAGAAGTTTTTGAGCATCTTGTAAGGAAATAATTTCAAATGATTAATGCTCAATTCAGTTAGATCATTGATGAAAACTATTCCATTTTTCTGGGTTTCTTCTTCAGACAGCATAGTATAGAAAATAATACTAATAAGTGTTAAGATGTCATCGACTGTAAATTTAGATGTATCAAGCTTTCTTGTTGCACAAAGAAAAATTCTCCTGCCAAATGCATCTCTCTCTTTCATTACTACAATCGCACCAGAATCATATAGTTCCAATGATTTATCGAACGATTCTTGATTTATTATAAATATATCGGGATTTTGCTTAATAAACAGAAATGATCGTTCATACAATTCCTTAACTTTAGGCATCACATATCTCCGAGCTCGGAGAAACATAAGAGCAAAATTTTCATCTAGAATAGCCACAATATTTTACATGTAGAATATAATAAATTAACAGTATTACCAATTTCAAAATGAAGTGTAATAAAAGAATGATTTTTTATGAATCTAGTGAATTCTTCAATAGATTTTCGTTTTAATGCTTCATTATCTTCAAAGTGTTCATTATCAGCAATTTCCAGTTTATTATACATTTTACACTATCGAGAGTTGATATTAAACTAAAACACATTTCAGGTTATTTATTTTAAAATGAGACGAAAATTTCTTTGGATCTGTTTTTTCATCTGTTTTCATAGTTTGAAAAAGAGTCAAGAGAGTAAATTAAAAAGGGACGTATTTTAGTATGCTTAACCCTTTCCACTACAACTCATCACTATAATTTAACTCAGCTTGTACTAAAACACCTAAAAAATTAAAGTACGTCCTTCTGATTTTAAAGCAAAAAATATTTCTTCTTAAAATGTCCAAATCAAATCAAACAGTTCGATTAGAATTAACTGAAAGTTGTCAATCTGTTTTGACTTGACACATATCGAAAATCATCCTGATTATAATCAAAAACCAACGTGCAGCTCGTGTCAGTCAACACAGCTTCCATCAATTTTGAACCAAATGTATTTGAAATGCAAATCACTAGAATAAATAAAGCTTCATCAAAACTCGTGTCTGTTTAGATCCAAAAAGACATTTTCAAATTATTCTATTAGCACATAAGGCAACATAAGGACCATGTTTAAAAACGTTGAAATTAGTAATAGCCTTATAGGAAATAACCTAAAACAACAAGTCAAAGTCATAAAAACTGAACAAATTTAATAAAAATTTTGTGATTAGCTTTATTTTAATCAATATTTATTTTTTGTGTTGATTATGAATTTTTTTGAAAGTTCAAAAATTCTTTTCTTATTTGAAATTATAATGCTTTTAAAGTCATACAAAGTTTCCATATCAGTAAAACTTTTTCCACCATAGTCAGTCGACATTTTGCTTTGATCAACAAATTGCCACAAGTTTCCTAAATCACTCATCACTTGAAGCCGACTTCGATTTTTATCATCCAGCACATAACGAATGGCTTTGAATAGTTGAACAGCAATCGATGGCATTCCAACAACATAAATTTCTTTAATCTTTACGACGCTGATATTCATGTACGATGAATAATTTGCAAGCATTTTGTATGGAAATAATTTTAGATGACTTAAACTCAATCCATTGAGGTCATTGATAAAAATTGTCCCATTTTTTTGTGTATCTTCCTCAAATGATAATACACACAGTATTAAATTAAACAGCCTCATTGTATCGTCGAGTGTGTACTTTGATGTATCAAATTTTTTTGTCGCGCACAGAATTATTCTCCTGCCTAATGCATCTCGTTCTTTCATTACTGTAATTGCTCCTGTATCATATAAATCCAATATTTTGGTATATTTTTCTTCATCCAAAATGCAAATTTCAGGATTTTGTTTGACAAACAGGCATGCTCTCTCATATAACTCTTTGGATCTTGGAATTACATACTTTCTTGCTCTTAAAAATGCAAGAACGCTCAGTTCGTCTAAAATAGAAAGAAATTTTAATAAAAATTTAAGAATAAAGTTACTATCTTGTCATTTAAAATAGCACATCCATCGTAAAATATTTTTTAAATTTAATCAAATATCATATCCAATTGACTTCAAATTTATCCTTAATATATTACCTGTTTCTCCATTAAATTTTATGTATGGATGTTCTTGTATAAACTTTGTAAACTCATCAATAGCTTTTCTCTTCAAAATTTCGTCGTCTTCATAATGCACATTGTCAGTCTTTTCTGTTAACTGATACATTTTCAACTGTGGCACAAAAAACACGCATAGTTAATTTTAAACTCATTTATTTATTTAAGAGAACTCTACAAAAAATGAGTAAAATAGAAAATTATCACAAATTTTTCTTCTTCTGCCTGGAAGCTCTAAAAAAGAATTTAAAGAGATTGATAATCGGTTGTTCAATGAGCAAGTTCAGTATCAATCCATAGGCCAAAGATGCTGTCATTCCGTAGAGATAATGTATACTCTGGAATGAAAGATTGAAGAATCAATGTCAGAATAGTTCATTTTTTTAGAAAAATTCTAATTTGAGCTTACAATCGTATACAAATTATAGTCAAGAGGTTCTTTACGCGTTATCAACATCCATCTGTAGACCATTGCATGAGAAATCAGAACAGCTAGTCCAAGTCGATCGAATGGCACCCAAAATCGAAGCGATACAAATTTTGTGACTAAATCTTGTGAACCATAATGGCATAAGAATAAAACGAATGTGAAGATTATTGAATGATAGAACTTGTCTAGTGTCGCTAAGTAAACTACATATTCCTTGAGAAAAGGGGCTTTTACTCTTAGTATCCAAAGAAACGTTAGCAAAAATGGAGTTGTCCATAAAAAGAGCTTTGTGTTCTGAAAATTGAAAGAAAGTCATGAAATTGTTTAATAATTTAAATCATTGTAAAATGACATACCTTATCTATATTGACAGTTTTAACTGTTATAGTTAAGTATCCAAATATCATCCCGAAAATCCATCCAGGCAATGCAAATTGTGTTTCTTGAATATATCTTGATAAAGTTTTTTCCTCGTACGAAAGACTGAAAAAATAAAGAAGGTTATGATAGGCAGATCTTTCTGATATTAGGTCCGTATATTAAGGGAGTGTTGGTAAGGGCTAAAAGAAGGTAAGGGTTACTAATACATAAAACAATTCAGCGGCTTTTAAAGGTTATTTTGGGTCTGGTTTCTAGGGGCTACACCAGAACTTGAACTGGTTTTAGCTCCTTATCTCCTGTCTTCAATAAGTCTATGATATTTAAAGCCACTACTTACTATTTCATATTTTCAAAATATTCTCTATTGCCAATAATGTATGAATAATTGATAGCATACGCAATCACAAGAAGTGATGAAAAAACAATAAAACTTAATCGCCTCCACTTCCATATAAGGAATATAACAAATGGTGTAATCATAAACAAATGAAAGTCCACAGCAAAGTAATATGATGGTGGCATGAACTAAAATTTAAAACTTAATTAAATTGGCAGTAAAATAAACAGCAAAACACTTACAGTCTCCTTGAGATCAACAAAATAGTTCTGAATTTGAAGAAGTGGCAGCCAATAAAATTTGAATATTTTTGAAAATTGATTTGGGAAGAAGTATGGTGCTTCAATCAGTTCCGATATCCAGCCTTGCATGATGAATCTCTCAACAACCATTACGAAAAATAATAATGGAACGATTCTTAAATATCGATAAATGTACAGCATTGGAATATTCAGCTTTTTATGTTCCAACAATTTCCAAAGAGCTCTCGTCAGTAAAAAGCTTGTTATCATTTGACAAAAAGTTGCTCCAGCTGGACCTTGTGATATGACCATTTCGTATTCTCCTTGATGATATGCAAGAATATTCTGAGAGTTTTTAGTTGGAATATAAAGACTTGCCAATATCATATGAATAAAAGCAGTAACGTAATGGGATATTGTTTTGATTCCTCGAAGATATGCAATGGTATCATCAGTACTTTCATCATAGAATAAGTTTTTAAGGTTTCGAGTGAGAGAAAATGATGAGTAGATTGATTCTTGATTCCGATAGCTTTTAAAAGTGCTTACAATAGCTAGAATAATGAAAAAAAGAACAAAAGATCTAAAAGAATTTTGATGGCATGAAAATAATTGAAATTTCAAATTACTGACATTCCAAAAATTCCAGAAGCCGTCATCAAGAAGTGCTTTTTTACTTGACAAAACTCATTTTGATTGTAGTCTGAAGACATGACGTAATTTGTGCCATTAAGTATTTGTTCCATTAATTCAGGAATCAATTTATTAGGATTGCAGACAGATGGAATACACACAGCACCTCCAAATCTTGAGTCTAAATGCTCCCAGCCTTGATTAAAAAAACTTGACCTTGGCATCACGGAAATAGTATCTTGAGTTGTTGAATAATATTGGACTGAGCAATATTTTCCCTGAATTCCTTCATTTCCATCTAATCCAAAATTTATGCACTTATCAAAGTCACCAAAATCATAGGAATTGCCATACAATTTTTTACTTTTAAAGTCTGCGAATGTTGATGCCACTAAAATTGATTAAATTTATTAATTATTAAGAATTCTAAGAAACTTATAATCACTCACACTCAGCTGTCCAACCAGACAATTTGTTTTTTCTAAAATTGTCCAAAAATTCCTCACAAATATTCATATTTGCTTAAATCTAGACTACGAAGTACACAGTTCGAAGATGAGAAGTGAACTAAAATTGAGAAGAAATGAACTAATCATGAGGTTATCGTATCAATAGCTACATATATGTGTTATCATTTTATTTGTTTTTTTCTCCGTTATATACAAATTTACTAAGCATGTCACATTGCAATTAATGTTTTTTTTTATTTTTTGAATCTTTAATCAAGACTTGGTGACTATAGGTGTTTCTTGGGGAGGTCCAGGAAGTTTTTAAGTGGCTAGTATTATTATTAATTTCTATACTTCAACTGCCAAAGTGTCATTAAGGTTTATAATTAAGTGACTTTAGCCTGGATTTTTAAAAGCTAGTAAGAACATCTTGAAGTTCTTAATAAATCTTAATAGAGTAAAAAAAAACCATTAACTATTCAGATCAATAGTGATCCAGAGGTGCGCTAGGGCGTTTCGCAGCTAATGGGAGGAATAGAGTAGATTAAGGTAAAATAATGTAAAACTGGCTTTAAATTTGGAGAATCTGAGTCTTTTTTGAAACATTTAACAGGAGCGTAGCCAGGAATTTGAAGAGGGAGGAACAAAAAATTTTTTATGTGTGGAAAAATTTAAGATGGGGGGGGGGATTTTGTGATTTTTTTATGAAAACCATCGCAAGATAAAGAAATTTCTGTTTGCAGGCTATGCGCCTGTATATAACAAATGAACAGCTCTTCATGATTCTGTGATTATCTCATTTACCGAATTAGTTGACTGCTCTGCCGTTCATCTTCGGAGTAAATAATTTGTTTTTAAAAAACTTTAAAGAAGAATATCTCAGTAAATTTACAACTCTACTTAATTCTAAATATCCATTACGTATCGTTTAGTTTATCTCAGATAATCATAATTTCTGCAATATTAAGCACAACAAAAGAACAGCAACCCTAAATAAACATGTACTTTTTCCATCTTAAAAAAACCATCATAACTGTTCTCATGTTTAATTCTATAGCATAAAGTAATGCAATAAGAAAAATCTTTAAGCATTTAAAGGAGGAAGAGAAAAAAATTCAAGAATAATTCATTTTCGTGCTTCCCAAACATGCAATATATCTGTCCGATGTTCACATTATAACATGAAATTTTCATAATAATTTTTTCTCTTTATTTCTGTTGCATGTTTCGTTGCTTCTTAAAAGCAGCATCAGCTGACAATGGAAAATTATTTTCCCATTTTTTTTTCACTGTCGAGAAAAAATTTCTTGCTGTGTGAAATTGAAAAAAAAAATCTATTTGGTTAAAATTGCACTCTGATATCCTGTGCTCATGCCACACAATTCTTGTCATATATAAATATATGTCTGTCTATGTGCATACTGAAAATAAATTGTAGCATGATTGCATCTGATGGCGGTGAAAATTGAGCCATAAATTTTTGTGCAAACATGCAAATGGAGAGTGAAAAAAATTCCTGTTCAGTTTCTTCCTCTGCTCTTTGTATTCCCAACTTGTGTAGTTGATGTGTTAATTTAATTGAATTTAAATTGTCATTTTGCCTTTAAATTTATGTTGTTTGTTCTCTTTTTGTTGCCACTGATACTCATTGCAATTTTATTTTATGAATGTGAATTTGTATATGAAAAAAAATGCAATTTTTTTAAATGACACTTTTATGCAATTTATGACAGTCTTTTATGCGGGTTTAATGCACCATGATTTTATGAATTTACTAACAGTAGGCGACGAATATAATATAAAAATTGTCACGAAAGTACAAAATGAACATATATCATAATTTAGTCTACTCGACTGTCGTAAACATTTTAAATGAATTATTTATCTCGCAAAATTTCAAGGCTTTCAAGTTAATGTATTGCAGGTGTCTAAGTTTCCAAAAATCAATCAATTCATATCACTCAAGCTCCATCATAATTATATGTAAGTTTTAATAGTGAGGGATGTCTTTAGCTGTGAGGTTCCCATACTACAGAGTTTCTCAACCTTTTTAGGTTATGGTAAAGTTAATTCTTGTTCTTTTTCTTTAATAAACGACACAGCCACTGCTATACTCACACACTTAGGATTTTCTTAGTGCTTTGTAGAGCATAGTTTTAAAAGATTACAAAAAATAATATCAGCTTGAAAACTACTGGCTTTGTATGCTCAAATATTAATTATTGGAGTAGCAGGTGTTAAGGGTTTTTAAAAACTGCATTATCGTTTGACGTCATTTACATTTGACCTAATTTTTCACCCGCTCTTACTTACTAAGATTTAATATTTCTAATTAGGCATTTGTGTAGTAATAAACTTCATTCCTTTAGTCTAAATAGGAATTAGGAATAATTTATAGTTTAATCAATACATGCAGCATGAGGAAATGCCTTTATTTTATTCAAACAAATATCAAATTTATTGAACTTTATTGTTTTTTATAAATATTTTATTGAATCTAAACAAGAATATTGAATCTAGAGCAGTATGGATTTAGTTTCATGAATGATCGCTGCAAACTATTTAAATAGGAATTATGTGTGTCGATAATAATGGATTTGCTGATTTGATAATTCAGACGCTAATGTTATGAATGTTTTCAAAGATTCTGAATATTTTATTGCATCATAATTCACAGAATCCAAAGCTAGATTTAAAGCTTCAGACTTTTCATTAATTCAGTATAAAGCAAATCATAAAGAACGACCTTCTTATTTACTGCATTTATCATAATAACTTAATAGTCTGCGAAAAAGCTGCCATTACGGCAATGTTCTGCATGAGTGCATTTCAAAATAATTGAAAAATTTGCAAAAATTATTCACCAATCAAGGTTTGTCGATTTCATGTTTGAACAAATTGAAAATCATTCAATAAATGCATTTCCATTTAAAATAAATTTAAGGGTACAACACAAAGTCGTTTCCTTTGTATTCTGCACGCAACGGCGTTTGTCATTTCCTTTTGATAAATTTTTATTAATAAACTTCTTTCAATTTCTATATCGAAATACAATAATTTCTTTAAAATCGCATAATTAACCCCTATCTTGTGATTATTACCTTCAATAAACCATTTGTGCAAATATGCCCTACATTTGAATTTCTATTTACTCTCGCGTTCCTTTTTCTTCTTATTCATTGTGTCGCATGTCAAATTAAAACCCTTCATGTACATTATTCCCAATTAAACTTCTCAAACTCTCACGCGTTTGCTGAGTACAAGAGTCTACATACTTACTGTCACTATACACATGCTCTTTGATGTGAATTAAAATGTTTGCGAGAAAAAAAAAGCAATTAAAAGCATGGAAAGGAAAGGAGAGAATGAAGAAGTGGAAGAGTTTTACTCTAACGCATGTAAATTGATATGTCTGCCAAATGAATGAATGGAACGAGAGCTCATAAAGCATGGAAATTTATAAACAATGCGGAATATATATTATCATTGTTTGAAGTTATGCGACATGTATGTATGTAAGTTCACGTATGCATGATTGAGGAATTGCATTGTGGTATGACATTGAAAATTTATGCAAAACAAAGGAGAGTGAAAGAAAAGGAGTAATTCAAGTTAAGAAATCTGGGATTTAAGGTGAACTGGGTCAATTGCGCAGCAATTAAATGCTTCAACATTGTTAATTTTTTACATAATTTATAGGCACCAAATCGATCAATTTGATATTTTTTCGAGTCATATTTGCTCCTTTTTAAAGCCAATAGTTGAACAATAGTAAAGTAGGGGTTCACCAAAGACAGTCGATCAAACTTCGCAGATTAAACATTTATTCCGAATTATTTGCGAGTAGAAAATGCATTCCATATTTCAATGGTTGTATGAACTTGAAGAATAAACGCAACGACGAGGGTAATTACAAAAGAATTTCAATAGAAAGAAGTCTTGTCTCGTCATTCAATTGGCAATGTCTGATGCAATATATACTTAATAAATGATATCAAATTTCATTTGACAAGCTTAATATTTCATTGGTTTTTTTTTTCATTCAATTATTTTTGTATAGGATGGCGGAAGGGGACACTTGGATGGATTAGCATCTGTTTATTGTGAATTGTTGATGGCACCATTTAATGATGTGCTATCATCACTTGAAGACGCTAGATTAAGGGCGTGGTCACAACGTAGTCCAAAGCATTATCCGGGTATGAATCGGGGCCATCGAGGCAATTCCAATCAACTTGGCATGTTACCAAATAGTCATAGTCAACCTATTTATGTACCGGGAAAATATTCTGTGAGTTTTTTGCTTTTTTTTCCATTGTGTCACATCCATTAATCACGAAAACAAATTACGACAAACATTTTAACTCTCCTTTTTCATCCCTTTTTTACATTTACATGATATGCTGGTGCTGCTCATCCACTCGCTCTACTTTAACATGACAATAAATGGATTAAATTTTCTATATTTAGCCTTCAAGTTGTCTCTCTGACAAGGAGGAAGATGAAATTTATGGTTTCGGCTATGGGTGTTTTGCCCCACGGGTCGGACGTAATACATTACAATCAATGCAAAGCCAAATGCCACAACAACAGCAATCATTACCAAATAATTCAACAAATGTACCTGTTACGCAGCAAAGGTAAGAGAAATTAAGTCCCATGACGAAATTAACATTTTTTTATATATTATGTGTGCCTGTATCGAAAATGCATTATAGATCAGAAAAAAATTTCATGCTCTGATGGGATTAAAAGATTTCATGACCACACATTATGAATGATATTTTCTAAATCATTTATACAAATTTGTCACACACAATGAGATTTTGTCTAGCTAAACATATTCTCATATTAAATTAAATGCACAATAATGAGGAAGTATTTGGAGGATATTTATGATCACGGTATTTAAATTTGATTTTATTAATGTACACAAAACATAATGAATTTTTGGTAACAGAAGAACTTAATTGTTCAATTTTAAGTCTGTCTTGCTTAGTTACGGAGATGATTTTCTATTCAAAAATGAGTTTTTAATGAATTTTTGTTGAGCCAGAATCACCGGCATTTCAATGAATGTTTTGATACCTTCTTATAGCAGATTTAAATTATTTAATGAATAATTTGGTTTGGAATATGATTAATGAGATCTAGCTCACATTCTGTGCGACAAAACTCCTACAAAATTACGGACAATTAAGGAACCTCATCGTCATAATCTGCAAAACTGAAATAAATTTAAAGCATTGTAGTTTCAGGCAACTCATACCACATTAAAATTCTTTCATAAATAAACTATGACTGGCAATAATTTAATTACAGTGATTATAATACATCCTACAAAATTTGCTTGTTCAAATTATTAGTGCTAACCATTAATTAATTTCGGAAGGGTTATTGTCCAAAACAGCCACAAAAGTGCAAAATAACTTAATTATTTATTGGTACTTAAAGTGATTTAAATTGTGGATAGAATAATATGATTTATGGTTGATTAATTATTAAATGATTAAAATCGAACAATTGGTTCCTGTAGTATAATTGAGCTTCTAATTCTTAAAAGGGGAGCTATATGGACATACGGGAATGTTGGACATAATCAACTTTGGTAAAGATTAACCTAATCAAGCTCCTTTAAGTAATCAAACCAACAATATATTTTAAACTGTGAAAGTCATTTTCTTTTGATCTTGATTGATACTTGAATGACTTGTTGATAATCCAAAGCATATCATTATTTCAATATCTAGTAGTTGAAATAATGCAACTGGGCTTGGACAATCACGATAGATTATACATTGTATAATGGCAAATATATCAATTCAGCATGAGCCATTAATATTATTAGACTGCTGAAATGGATTTAAATGTAAAAATAAATTAGCAACATTGTTGATAGTCACGATTTGAACTGCACGATGATAGTGTAAAATACTGCTAATGAACAGAAAGTTGAATGTTTGATTTCATGCTACTTTTCTATTTTCAAATCGCAGACATAATCTAGTGAAATATTATATTTTTAATGGCAATAATTCTAATGTTCGTGTACATTTTGACAGAATTTTTAGATTTACAAATTAAATTGAATACAGCGTGGTTTGACAAGCTAGCAATTATTTTTTTGAAGACAATCCAACAAATTTGAAAGTCATGAAAGTAATAAACCAATTATAAACGTTTAATTACAATCGAAGTTATTCATGTTTAATTTTCAACCAGTTAATTACTCGTATCCATCAAAACTTCCTCGATGCCTTCAATGTTTCTTCCTACACATGAAAAAATCGTAAAATGTGATCATAAAATTTATTAATCATCCATTACGTTAAATGAAATATTAATCCAATGAATAATAATGTGCAGTTATGACTACCAATAATATGATATTCTCCTTTTTCGAGTTAATCAATTTTTATTTACATCAATAAAACCTGTTTAATTGCTACAGAAAAAAATGGCTACATGAAATTATATTGTTGGTCGTTAACCAACAGCAAAGCACACAATTTTTTATTTATTACGAATGTCAGTGAAATAATTAATGAATAACAATGTCTTCTTTATATCTTTTACAGCTGTTTAAGTCCACGATCAGCATATTTTTATGAGCTTCCACCTGCAGGTATGTACAGTCATCTACGTTTCAGATTTTCTATGTTTTTTTGGTTACGTGTTGTGAAATAATTTATAAATTTAGATGATTAATGCCCAATTTAACACATAATATCATTATGCATATGAATTCTATGACCATTATCCATTCTCATACTGCCCATTATGATCATGATATTATTAATAAATTTACGAATATCGTAAACTTTATGTGATTATTATTACTCTCTTTCTTTCTCCGTGCATCGTCCACTGTCCCTCTCACTCTGCTGTTATTGCCCAAACATGTCATAAATTCATGCACCTACCTATCTCACTCACTTACGTACATATTATAAGCACAGATTATTTACAGTCCTCCGTTCATTTCTCATTATCTCGCATCATCCATTGTGACCAAGTCATGCCATTATAATGGGGACCAGATACATATATATATGCCATTGCCAGTGGAAATAAAAGCGGAGATTCGGTAGAGATAAAATGTAAGAGATAAAGGAAAAAATCAGAATAAATTTTCGTTCTTCTTTTCTTTCTCATTTTGCTTCTGATGCTGCTTCTGTTACTTCTTCAGCTTATCAGAAATAAAAAGGGAAAAAAAAAATTAATCGCATAAATTTACCCGCGAGCTTTTTTGCGCGTAAGACTTTCAAAAACACAAGAAATGTTACGTGGAATAAAGGCTTGAGCGCATTTATAGGGAGGAAGTTTTTTAAATTCAAAGATGCTCATAATGTTTTAGTATAAAAGCTTAGAAGACTGTTTGAAGAATCACAGCAAAAGTGACAATGAAAGTGGCTTTTAAACTGAGTGTCGCGGAACATTAGATTGAGGATTGAGTCTAAAAAGGAGTTGCTTGCGGTAGATTCCAAACTTATCTCTTATCCTGTAGATCTCCTTATAACTGCCATATGTTTTTTTTTTCATATTTCAATAATAATGACAATAATGTCATTCTTTATTGAAGAGACTGAATTATATGTGTATACAAGTCAGGTTCGATGGGAATTTATACCCACGACCTCAAAATAGGCAATCTCTCACCACTCGATCAGAGATCCCTGCCACTCGGCTACCGAAGTACTTACCTCACTTCAGCTATCCGTCATACATATATAACCAGTTTCAACGCGAGCCCTATGCTCAGGCCTTTTTACTACAGATATGCTCCTTGAGCCATGTCCACAGCAACATTTACGCTTTAAACAAGCTGTAAAAAGATGAAAATCAAGCAAACAGTTCCTAAGAAACTGTTTACATAAAATTTTTGACAAACTAACTTCCATTTGTTGGCTCAGTCACTAACGTATGTGCTATCTTAGCAAAAAGAATATTTTTGGCAACGAAAAAGAAAAGAAATTATTCCATAAAAGTCATAAACTTGCTTTCTTCTATATTTCTGCTTCCTCCTCAGCCCTCAACCAGTGGACGATCAACAACAAATGCTTGTTTGCTGCTTTTTATCGCAGAAATGAATAGAAAAAAAGGAAAAATTTTTATTGACAAAATTTGTCGAGTCTTCAAAAAAGTACGAAGAAGGAAAATGGGAAGAAAAACTGTTTCCGCTATTTAATATTAAATGCCTTCTTTCCATCCCCGTCATGCCTTATGTTTATTTTCTATCTTAAAAATAAGAAATTTAGTGGCAAAAAATATTTTCTGGCATTTTATTTCACTTTGGCTTTGTTATTGTTAAAATGGCACAAAAGAAGGAAAAACAATAAGCGTAATGAGTCTGTTGAGGGAAAACTCTCTATTTTTCTGCTTCTTGCTTCATTCTTTTATCCTCTGTTGTCTTTCACTTTTGATACTGATTAAATCAAATAAAAAAAAATCTCTACTTGAGCACTTTCTTTCGCACAACAAAAGACAGAGAATGAAACCCCGAAAATAAATATTTTTTTATCCTTTCTTTTCATTTTCCTTGTTATGGACGGTCGAGGATGATGAAGTTGAGGAAAGTAAAGAAAGATTAAATAGCTGATAGGAATTTGTTAAATGAGGAGAGTAAAGAGACTTAAATTCTGGCATCAGTTTGGATTTTTAAATCAAAAGCTCTTTGAACTTTTGTGTTACATAACTGAAACTTATTGCTCTAATAATTGTTTAAGCTTCTTTGATCTTTTTAATAATTTTTGTGTTGTTTTCATGATCAAATATTAAGTCTGCTTTACTATGACATAATAAACTTTTGTAAAGGGGCCGTTCACTTATGGCGTCTGACATTTAGGGGGGGAGGGGGGTCTAGGATTTTGTGGCAGTTCAAACAATGGAAATTTTTTCTATAGAATTTTTGTGACAGAGGGGGGAGGGGGGTCTAAAAATCAGGTTTCTTGATGGACGTCATAAGTGAACGACCCCAAAGGGATCCAAACTTTTAGATTCGTTATTTATGGCTACAACATACTCATATTCTGTGCCCAGGACAGATCGGTGTTTCATTTTTTAGACACAATAGTTTTGGACTAATGTGCTACAATTTCAATTTATAACAATGCTTGGAAAACAGGGTTGAAAACAGGGTTGCAATGCAGGCACCTGTTCACAGGTGAGAACCGTACAATTCCTTGATAATTTATAAGGTTTTTCCAGCAAAACCATACAAATTCTAATAAACCTGTGCACATGTTCCTGTATCGCAACCCTGGTTGAAAAATTCTATAATTTTTGATGAACGTCATTTTTGAACAACGCCAAAACTCTTAATTTTGTTTTCTGTTTCTAATTAAAGTCATTTCAAGCTATTGTTGTGTTCCTTGAATATTTTTACAGAAAATTACAAATATAAATAAGAAAGCACAAATAATGAAATCATTACTTCCAAAAAAAAGTGTAATAACAACTCTTAATATCAGCAAATCAGTCTTAAACTTTATGATGCTGATGCTGTTGGCTGATATTTTGCAAGGCATTTCCTGTGAACTGTAATTACTTGCTAATTAAAAATAGAATCGTATATTTTTACGACTGAGTAAGACGTACTGAAATCTGATACCTTAATATAAAATCCTCAATCCTTTATCCTTCATAAAAATCCTCAACCTTTCAAGATTAAAGAAATTCAAGCTAGTCGCTTGAATTTCTGCTATTTCTACATATAAAAGATTTTCTTATTCTTTTGCTCGTGTACTTTTTGTGCTCTTTTCAATTTAATCTCAGCATTAAGAATTTGATATACATACGAACAGCAAAAAGAAGGAGAGAAAAAAAATGGTTTGCTTGCGGCTGCCAAATTTTCTTGTCAAGCTATCGCAATGACTTTGTTTAGTAAACATTCACTGAAATTTATCAGCACAATCAGCAACTTTTATTTTCTTTTTTACTTACTTGATTCATTCTATATGCGCTTCAATGTTTCTTTTTCCTTTCCCCCACGGGGTCTCTGTTCTCTTTTATTCGTACTTCATTGCTAATCAAAATACTTCTCGTATTATATACCATATTTATTTTTTTGGGTTTTCAAAAGATTTATTTACTCAAATAGAATCGTTAATGGAGCTTGTTTTATTCGTCTTCATCATCATATATGTATATGTGTACAGCAGAAGGCAGTAAATAAATATGTGCATTGATTGTGATGAATTTCGACTTCTTTTTTCCATCTCTCAATGACTTTTTTGTATAATGAATCTGTGTGTGCGAAAATTGAGATGAATTTATTCGTTCTCGAGCGATTTTTTATTCCAACGTTCAAGGGATGAATATCCTTACTTTTTATTCTCAAAATATGTTGGGTCAAATCAAGGGCGTATCTTGAAAAATATATGATTAAAAAGAAAATATAATGATCAAATGTAAGAATTTTAAGACACAAGTCTGCTCAGTCGAGTCCCAGTTAAAGCTCATTTTTAGAGAGTACCTTAACCATATCCCTTCGCTACACTACATCTTCAAGCTCATATTCTCAAAAACCACTAATTTTCCTCTCCTTGCCTATGTCAAGACTGTTGAAAAGAAAGAACAAAATTTATTCAAGGCAGGCAGTGGAGCTACATTCTTGATTGTCTAAACAATATTTTTTATTTTCTTCCTTTCTCATTTCAATTTCAATCGTTTTGCTTCTCTTATTTTTTTTTATATTTTCCTTCCTTTTTTACTTCCTCCTTTTGTTGATCTACAATTTAATCTTTTTGCTTACAATTCGGCTGATTGATTTATGAATTGACTGAAAAAAAAAATCTTTGTACTTTTTATTTCTAGATGGTCGAGAGGCGAATAAGAAACGAACAACATTGGCAAGATTATTGAGAGGATTAAAGACTGTTAATAGACGAGCAAATCAAAATGCATCGGCTGGTGCGCAAATTAAGGTAAGTTGGTGATTCTTTCATCTCATGTGTTCAACTATCATCCAGACGTTTGCACTCAACCTCAAAAAAAAGTGAATATTTTATATTCATGAGTCATATGAGGCATATAAAAAAATGTATAAAAAAACTTTATCATGAAGAAAGTAACAAAGAACATAAAAGTGTAAAAAGAGCCTCTTGAGACAGAATGTCTGCATATAGTAAAGTCGCAAATAACATCACATATTCAAAAGTGCATTAAAATCGTTTGTATTATACAGAGGATAGATGCACTAGAAAAATGAAGAGGATTTACTGCAAACTCACTTACACGATGACTGTAATGTAGACTTAATATGAAAGTGATTGCGACAGTATTATTTTGTATACGAGAATCTCTCTTTCTATATCGTTTCACGTAAACATTGAACATGGAGATATCTCTGTTTTCTATGTGTGGATGATAATAAAGGAAGAAGGTGGATGAATGACTTTATATTGTAGTGACTTAATGCCAACATAAGGGTGGATTATGAATGAAACATGAAGTTGTCACCTTGACTCTAAGAAGTCATTTGTGGTTGAAACAGTTTTATTTTAAGAACTGTTTGGGTGGACAAGATGAATGGATTTCCTGATGAAATTGAAGAGTTTCTTATTTTTAGAATAAAACTAGTGTATCGGGTAGAAACCCAATTCGGATTATATTCACACCGTACTATCATAAGTCTTATGGATAGACCAAGATTTGCCCATCATAAGTATGAAGGTATGAAGCTTGATAAGTCAACTAAGCTTCGCTCAGCATAAGTTTGAAGTTATAAAGCTATCGCGTAAGCTGAGCTACGCTCAGCATAAGTTTGAAGATATGAAGCTAGAGAGGCAGCTGAGCTTCGCTCAGCATAAGTTTGAAGTTATAAAGCAATCGCGTAAGCTGAGCTACGCTCAGCATAAGTTTGAAGATATGAAGCTAGAGAGGCAGCTGAGCTTCGCTCAGCATAAGTTTGAAGTTATAAAGCTATCACACGTGAAAACGGTGTGAATATAATAATAAAATTTATAGAATAATGAAAGCACGTGTAGTGCTCGACTACGGATCGGTTCAGTTTTGTTTTATGTAGGAAGTCTAAAATTAAGAGCGTAGCTATGGAAGGTGGAAAAATTTCGAAATCTTTCCTTAAAAGATTCAAAGCTATGCCGCTGTATAGAGCTATGCATGCTCACCTTAAAAATGTATCCATCTTTTACTTAATAAGCTTTCAAATTCATCATTCAACTTTTTCATCACATCATCACTTTAACTTACTTCTAAAAAGGAGACCTGTCGACACATAAAAAAATTTTCATCTCAAATAATTTCTCCTTCGTCATTCATAAAAATTTTTGCTCATTCTTTCCATACATTTTTGAAAATAAGGCTTTTATTCACTCGGATGATGATTAAAAAACTTTTCATACAACGAAGTACTTTTTTTTTGTACTTCTTTTTTGTGCTGAAAATTTTCCACCAACGTAATAAAAGTATGAGACATTTTTAAAGAGTTTTGAGTTAAAGAATAAATAAAGCGCATTTCTATGATTATTGGAAAATTTAAAACGTTGGATTATGAAGCAAAGGAGTGTCGTAGAAAAATGTCAAAAGATCCTTAAAGTTTTGATTTGTTGTTCGCTAGGTCAATGAGAATCTAGATATTTAAGAGCAGGTTAAGGACCAATTGCTTCCTTTTACTAATGCAACAAAGGTGATTCGAATAGAGCACTTACTACCTAAAAGATTACTACCAAAAGAGTGTCAAACTTAATGCTACTGCTTCATTGACATAATATTTTATATTTTTTGGTTCAATGGTTTTATGAAATCTTTAACCCGATCGACACACATTGAAATTTATTGAATAGTTTGTCACCCGTAGTCGGGTTGATAGTATAATTAGAACCAAGCGCTAGTCAATTGGCAATGGCAGCAATGAAGCAAACACTTGGCTTTTAATTGCGAATGGTTTCAAGTGACAGTCGCTTATTTCTAATTATACTATCAACCCGGTTGTCATGTGAGAAATATTTCAATGTGTGTCGATCAGGTAAGTTTAATAAACCTATGTTTTTAAAAAAACCATTTTGTGACTGTTAAAAACCAGTAAAGTTATCAACCAGTCTGACACTACACCACCAAAAACAGTCTCACATTAAAGGAAACCACCAAAATTTGACAAAAAGTGAACGAGCAGAGAAAAATTGTTGAAACCTTGAGCGTGAATGAACGAAATATAATTTAAAATTCCATTAAAAAATACTCATTGAAAGTGAAAAAAAATTCTGCACCTTTTGTGTCGTGAGCAACAAAAAAATATTAATAATGGAACAGCTAACGAGTGAAAGAGAATTGAGTAAGTGTGGATCATTGAATAAATGAATGAAACGAAAAAATATCAGCTTTAACTGCCGCGCATCAAACCACTACCGCTTTTTTATTCCTGCTGACTTTTAATTAATTTGATAACATCGGCAGAAAGCTAATGAAGAACAAGATTAAATTAAATTTCACTTTTCATGGTTGACGATGTGATGGGAATGAGAACGGCGACAAAGTCGAAGACTAAAGGCTTCTCGCCGGTTTTTTTCTTGTTCTAATTTCTTTTGTGCTTCGAAAAAATGCTCCATGTACTTTAATTAAAGATTATATCAAGACGAAAAATAAAAGGCAAGATGACATGAAGGAAAAAGTGGTGGCATCATGAAGAAAAAGATGGAAATAGAGATAAAAATGAATGAGAATGATTTGATGCGGAAACAAAAAAAGATACAAAGAAAATAAACAGATACAGAAATCATCAAAATATTTCTTCATTCTGCTTTTGCTGAAAAAAAAATTCCCTTGCGTTTCCTTTTGTTGGTTCTTTTTTTTATTGAGGTACTATAAGGAAGAGAGAGAAAGAGAGAGCAAATGAATGAGTTAGTTAAGTGGGCCAGATAATTTGATAAGAATGAGGATTAAGTGATAAACTTGATGAAATATTTCTACTTCATTAAGATTACTGAAATAAAAATAAGGATTCTTTCTGATATACTTTGAACATAGTTTAATCAAGAATTGTGATCAATTTAGAGATGTTTTTTTTTCTTAATCAGGAAATGAATTTTTGTTGCTAAATTGAATATTTTTCTAGTTTACTCTCGCAAATGAAGCGATTTTGTAGATTAAAGATCAAGTAAATGGAAAATACTTTTTTGGAGTTGTGGTAGAACTTTCTTGATACACAGACACTGAAGTGTTCTCGACTTTTATTAATTATTGACTATCAACCAAGGGCGTAGATAGGAATTTGAAGAGGGGGGGGGGGGGGGGATAAAATTTTTTTTTTATGGAAAACTTTTAGGGGTGGGTATTTTTATAAAAATGAAGAAATTTCTCAATACGAAGGGGGATTTGTCCCTCAAATCCCCCCAAACCTCCCCCCCCCCATCCTGGCTACGCGCTTGGTTTCAACTTTAAAGTAACTACTCAACCTTCTATATTTTCATATAAGCTAATCCAAAACATTTTAATTAATCTCTCATAATTTATACTTTACTATGCAGTTCATCGATCTTATTTCCAAATATCAATCATATCCAGCTAAACTCCTTAAGCTTTCTGAAATATGAATGTGCCATACACACAATATTGATTACTTGAGATTCTTCATTAGTCTATGGAATATAAATAATCTCGAACAGTCTCGTCTATTTTTATTTGCAATAATATTGAACTTTGCAACATCCATACCGACAGAGTTCTTCTAATAAAAGGTTTGTTCGATGTGACTAAATATAAATAAAGTAAGGAGAAATTAAAGTGAAAGACAATAATAGATTGATGAAAGTATTTTAGGACATAGACGAAGACGTATTTACATAAGAACAGATTCACAATATTTCTTTAAGCAAGCACATAATCAAGCAAGATGCTGAAGATGATGTATATCATTTTAGTCTAAAAATACAGCTCCTTAGAGCCTAATTAATATTCTTTATAGCAATCATACTTGTTGACAATAATACTGAATAAAATTAATATCTTTAGTAATTAGTAATTAGAACCATAATTTCATCTAAGCAAAATAATTAGTAACAAAACTCAAGTCCCACAGTCATTATAATCATACCCAAAATATTATTAGTTAAATAATTCAAACAAAATGAGTTTGCTAAAAATATATTCTGAGAAAATCTAGCTCATTTTTGATTGATTTGCTTCCTCAGCTTTAACGTAAACCCACACAATTTAAGTCAATAGAAATTTTAACTCGGCAAATTCTAGTTTAAATATTTATAATTAAAGTAATTCCTTTCGTGCAAATCATGCCGATATGAAACATTAAAATTAACATTTATATCTAAAATGCCGGCAGTAGCCGCACGCAGCCAGCAAATAATATTTGTTCCCTCATTTCGTGCCATATAAATTATACTTTATGACAAATTAAAATGAAAAAAGTTAAAAAGCTGTCTCATTTCAACATTTTTATCTTGTTTGTGCTCTTGTCGTCGCTTATACGGTCGGTAAACTTATCTTATTTCTTCTGTACCCCATCTCTCTCACTCCACTGCTTTTATATAATATTTTCAAAATGAAAAATGGCAAAAATTCTTGATGTTATCTACAATGGCTCTCGTACTTTATTTTATTTTAAATTAGAAAACATTAAAAATGGCATAATTTTTAACTTTTCATTGTAATTCGTCATGCGGATAAACAAAAGACTTCATTTTCTTACATGACAGAAAAAAGGAACAAGAGTAGGAAACAGAATGTTTTTTCATCCAAAAATTTAATAAAATCGTTACTTTTGGTGAATGTTTGTCAGACTGCCTTAAAATTAAAGCCACTAATATTATTAAAGATATTTGATTTTGGTTTTGTCAACGAAAACCAATGAATGTTAAAGCTTTACAAAATGCTAGATTTAAGTGGTCGGAATGTCATTAAGACACTAATATTTCGAACCTGCTGAATACACAATCCATTTAATCTCAAGTCATAAGAGTTAGCTTCAGTCTTGTGTTGGTCAAGACTCAGTAATTCAGCATTAAAGACACAGAAAATGACTTAAAAATAAAATCCACCAAAGACACAGAAAATGAAAAATCACCAAAACACATTCACCCACCATTCAAAGTTGAAACTGCGCCAAAACAACCACACCTGACTCCAACGACTTTACAACTCATTCAACTTCTTTTGTTTTATTTTTTTCTAAACCTTGATTTATATTATATTTTTTTGTAAAAGAAATGCCGGTGGTTTAATGTACATGTATATTCATTCTGGTTATTATAAAAAAAGTTTTTTAAAACTTAAATTCACAGATGGTTGGACACAGACATTTGAATCTCTCTCGACAAGATGAAGATTTATGAAAAATTCATGAGTTTAATATTTTTTTTTTTGCTTCTTTTTTCCTATTTCTCTTTGTGCCAGCAGACACACGAAAGACTGAGGCATTTTCAAATGAATGGAGGACCACAACCGAGTTTTGAGGAGACGATACATCGAGTAAGATAAATTTTTTTTATGAATTTCTAATGAAGAATTTATTGATTTCCTGCAACTCTTCTTCCCTCGTTTTCTCTCATCATGTAGCTTAAAGTACAAGAAGCATTAAGGAAAAAGGAAAAATTTCAAAGAGAACATGAAGAGGTAAGTCAACAACATTATACATTCATAAATTGTTTACTTGAGATTAACTCAATATTTTTGTTTCTCTAAATTAATTTTTAATCCTCGGATTTAAATTTGACAGCAAATGCTTGAGTTAATTTGAATAAATTTCTAATAAGAAGTGGGGAAAGACGAAAATAAAAATGGGTGACTAAATTAATCAAAATATAAGCTTTGGAGAAATTTAATTAGAGACAAGAAACTTTTGATGTCTCTGTGGGCTTCATTTAAAAGTCATCAAAATTGAAAATCATTTAGGGATTGAATCAATATTGATGCTACATCAAATGCTTAACCTTCATTTAATAAGATCTGAATTGTAACTGAACCCTAGATTTGTTGGAATGATTCAAGAATTATCACTTGACATTTGCAATAATATGATTCTTGGAAGTAACTGCTTGCATGACCTTTTACTATTAAATTCAAAAAATCATTTATTTTGCCTTTCTTGGAAGTAAACTGTGCACGGTTGTAACAAAATAGAGTGAAATATAAAGTATCTAGCCATATGTAGGCGAATCTGTAAGTACACGACTAAAGCTTTTGAGAACAGGACACGAAATATTAGTCACATCTTACTTTGTGAGAATGTGGGTTCAAATCTCATCATAGTTGAACTTTAAAACTACATCATCGATTAATGTCAATACGATAAGTTTGAATATTAATATTTTTATCTCATGTGTCAAAATATATTTAAAACTAAAAATGATTCTTCATTTGAAATCTAGTAAACAGTCCGACTGCGTTAAGTCAATCATAACCAATGTATTGTTGACTCTCAATCAATCATACAAAAGATTAAAATTTCCCCTTTCACATTTGATCATTTTTCTGATGCAGGTCAGTCAATGAATTATTTTTTGAACCCTTTTTGCATTGATAATGCCTCCGGAATAAACAAAAGCAATTCTATCAAAAGAATTAAAATCATTCATCATCAAAAAGAATAAAGCAAAAATTTCATTTTTCTGGATCAATCAGACAGTTTAACGCCTCGATAATGTAAAGATATCAAAAACAAGTAGCAAATAAATCCCTTATTTATTGTATGCATCACATTTACATCCTTATCATGATCATCAATACTCAATCCTCATCATCATTTCTACATCCACTTACTTCACTTTATAATTTTAGCTAGATTTTTCTAAGTCTTGCGGTTCAAACTGTTATTGGTCGTTCTGTCTATAAAAGACATAAAATCTCTGTTTTATACAGCATACACGCATAGATTACTGAATAGAACTTTTTTTACTTAAAACCAAGAAGCAAGCATCCCCATAAATGTACAAAAATAAATAAATGAATGAAAATAAGGAGGAGGAAGAAAAATCATTATAAATGAACCCCTTCAAGTACAAATGTAAAAGAAAGGGGAAAAAAATTCGGACCCTCTTTAATAACAGAAATTTGCTCATTGCAAAAATAAACCTTTTCTTTATTGCTGTGGGGATTTTCTCATAATTTGGTCAAGTCCTTTTTCATGTATAAAGAACAACAGCATTTTTCAAAAAAAAATATATATATCGTATAGTATGATGAAATGATACAGGGCACATGCCTTTTGCCTTTTTTTCGTCCTTATCTCTCAATGTCGGTGAGTCAACAATGAGAAAAATGTCAAAACCATCATTTTTTTCTCATGATTTTTTTTTCTCATCTCCTATTCCTCCCATCCTCCTTTCCTGTATAAATACGTTGGTAAAATAGAGATAACATTTTGAAGTAGGTGAATGAATGGAAAGGAACGAATATAAAATAAAAATAGAAACGAGACAGAGAAAAACTTTTTACTGTGTAAAAATTGTTTGCCCCTTTGGGGGATGCTGCTCATACTTTGAAAGCAGTCATTATGAACACGACCATCATGATAATTTTCATTTAGTTCCTCTAAGGTTACTCTACAGTAAAATTTATAATTTTGGTGTCGTAAAAATCTTTTCCTTCCTTTTCATCTTCCGTTCATGACAAATGATTGAAGGTTAGCTTTCCGGAGATTCTTGTGGTCTTGCTTTTTTGAAAAGGTTCGAATGGATTTTTTGGTATTTTAGAAATTTTTTTATGCGATAAAAAAAGGGTTTAAAGCAAACGATATGCTGAGATTTGCTAGGAATTTTTCTTTAAAAAGGAAAAATTCTTTAAGTTCTTTTAAGTTCCTTGAATGTAAAAATATCTTGTCTAAGTCTTTGATTTCTTTACTATTCATAATTTTATGGATGCTTATGCTTCATGTTAAACGTAATAGCTTTATGATGCAATCCTTTTAAATATTTTAATCTATCCTGAGTTTGACCATCTAAAAGCTATAATTCCTTATCATACTATCTATCTGAATTGAATTTTTCAGAATACTTTTTAAGGATGATTCAAAAAATAAAACTTACATATGAAGCATACAGTTTTCGATTCCATAGGGACAGTATCTAAAGCAATCCCAAAACTTCTATCGAACATCGTATCTTTCTAGTTCATCTTTAAAATGCTTGACACTAAATATAAATGGCCCCAACCAGTTCCATAAAATCTAGATTTAAATATTCAACTCAGAGCTGAGCATATTTGGTTTTGCCATATCAGAAGGATTAAAAATTTTAGACTCCTTTTTCTTTTTTAAATTATATCAAGTCAACGAAAATGAACATGATTGAGAAAATCCCTAAAGCTTCAATAAAGCAAGACCACTAATAATTTTAATCTTCTTTCTGTGGCACAAACATTTGTTTAATTTTGTGGCTACAACGATTCATTTGATACATTCTCTCATTTCTTCCATCCTAAACTCACCCTTATTCAACAAAAGAGAATGGAATCTATAGACAGCAATGGAATAAAATTAATTATATTTCAGTCATGACTTGAAATTCCAATCACGTTTGACTGATTCATCCTTTATTACTTGTCCAATCATTTCATTTTCTCGTTTTTTCTTCTGCTTTTATGAGCATACACAATATATATCGATACACATGATGTGTAGGTTCGATGTAGCTTATTCGAATGGTTTTTTCCTTCCGTGCAATGATGAGATACAATTTTCTCTTTTTGTGACTCGCTTCCTGTAAGGTATTATGAGGTTTTGCATCAAGCTTTTACTGTTTAAATTTATAAGCTGATTGGTGGTAATGCATTTGACTGGAAGGGTAAAGGGTTATGTTGTTATTAATCAGGTCAATAAGTTTAAAGCTTCTATAGCTTTTTAATATCAAATATACATAAGGATTTACTTTGTACTAGATAGAATGGACTCTGAGGTTTCGAAAACATGTCTGTTAATGCAAAAACAAGCTTTTCGGAACGAGATATTACAAAAAAGCAGCACAAAAGCTCAAGTCCCATTAGAGAGTGGTGATCTTTATACAAAATTTTGTAAATACTGTCATTATGGCAAGGGCTTGCTAAAACAAGGTCCACTTTTTAACATATAGAACTCAAAATGTTGCCTATGAAAAATGCGCATATGTTTTGTGAATATTGACCTAGTAATGGTTTTCCAACAAGCTATAAGCAAACTTCTATCCTGATTTTACTTTCTCATGCTGTATTCGTATTGCCGAATTGAGCTGATAGTATACTTACAGCTATCAATAGCATTTACAAATAAAATCGACATCCATGAAAATGATAAAACGATAATCGATGAGATGGAGAAGAATAGCAAGCAAAAGGAAACGGAAAAGCGAGATGCTTATTCATATTATTTGTATTACTTTGCGTCTTATCATTTATCCATTCATTCCTTGTGGCAGTACTGCCTTTAAATTTCAACTTAGCTAACGATTCGCTTCACGACTGATACATAGAGCAGTGAGTTGAATAATAATAAATGACAATTTCATGATAATGGCTTGACATTACATTATAAAATTGAGAAAGCAGAAAAAAAGTCAAATAAATTTTGTGCGATTTTTCTTTTTTCGTGCACTTGAGCTGGCTGAGATAGACTTTATTGATTTATCTATTTATCTATTGTGGATGTGACTCCGACTCTTATCATCCTTTTTAAATATTTGAGATTATGAAAATTTTACGGAATCATTGGACTCATTTATTTGAATTCTTTCTGTACATTTGGTTTCGTATGACAATTGGGCTTGTTTGATGAGGAAAATGAGAAAATTTATGGAAGCTGAAATTTTATCCAGAAGGCAAGGATAATGCCATAGATAAATTTGAATGTTTCGAAACTTTTTTAAATCATATTTCTAAATTCTAATGGCTATCTTATAGACATGCTCCAATGCTCGAAACACTTAAAGCTGTACAAAAAAAATCTATTCAAAACTTTAAGCACAAAATTCCATCGCATAACCAAAATTGTTGTTTTTCATTCCCGACATTTTAATATAACTTCTAGCTAACATCCAAAAGATTTGCTCTACTGTCAAGTTCGTCGTTTGAATTTTAAAATTCTGCGCTTTCATTCTATTTTTATTGTTTGTTGGTTTAACACCTCCGTGATTTCTATTCTCCTGACGTGCTTTGCTTCTCGCTTTTTTGCATGTTATTTCTGTGTAAAATTGCTGTGGGATATCAATAGTGAAACTTTTATTTTTTCACGAACTTCCTCATAAAATTTCAATTTAAATTTGTAATAAAATGTTAAACAAGCAAAAGTCCATTAAGTAGCAACAGATACAAATCGATATAAAATTAATAAATTCACACATTAAAGCCTTTTCAGTTGGCTAAGGTCAAAATGTCAAAACCGTCAATCATTCATCATAATTACTTATTCATTATCAATTGACTTACTAAATGAGTTTTATAGTTATACCTCCACATGAGTTGTAAACGATATAAATTGAGCTTTAACATTTCCAAAGCGAGCATTCATTTTGCTTCTGGGTCTAATACCTTAATTATAATTTTATTGGTCATTTACAGCACATATTGCAGTTAGATCCTTTTAGTCACACACATCATAATCAAAAGCTATTAGTTCAAGAAGAAGAACAATGTTAGCTATTAGGAACAAACATGACAAACATCAAGGCTTAATAAATGTAATTAACGCTCCTTTTGTGCGTACGAATATTAATTGTGATCGTAAAACTACAATCTACTTTGATTCTATGAACGTAAAATATGGCAATGCCATCAAGTTCTGAAAATTTAATTTTTGTCTATCCCTTTACAGTATGTGCTGTTTAATTTAATTCAAAAAGGGCAAGACCGTTTTTCGATTAAGTGTCAGATTTTGATGGTTTTTTGTCTATTACTCTTAAACGACAAACTTAACAATAAAACTTGATATATTGTTTTATAGAACTTTTTGATGCCTATCTTTTGGTATATAAATTTTTTACGAAAATCCTATACTTAAGGTTGTGGAGTCTTAAAAGTGACAAAATCTGACACTGAATTTTTGGGAAGGGTATTTGAAATTTTACTAAAACTAGTCTATCTCGCTTAGTTTTACACCGATTTCGATAGTTTTTTCAGCAATAGTTAGTTTAAAACAACAGTTATCATTAAAAAGTAATAAAAATAAAATGGCGACTTAATAAGTTAATTTAATTAATGTTTTTAACCTTATTTTCCTATATTTTACTATCAATTTTTAACTTACTTAACTTTTTTCTTGACACAAATATAGTTTTAGACCTTGGCTTTATGATAGAAGTCAAAAATTTTTGAAAAAAGTAGTATAATTAACTTTTTTTGGTCATTTTGTAAAATTGCCTTTAAATGGCAGTTGAATAGATATTCTTTTAATTTTATGATGTAAAATGATAATTATACATCAAATATGCTTAGTTTTAGCAAAATATATCACAATATAATGTTATAGAACAAGAAAAAAGCAAAAACTTTAAAAACTTTAACCAAAAATTTTCAACCGTTTTTGAAAATTTAATTTTTTGACTTGATTAAAGAGTTGTAAAATAAACTTTTACTTAAATTAACTAAATTAGAAGGCTTTATTGCAGTAAACTCTTGCAGGAAAGTTGTAATTTATCATTAATTAATGCTTTTTGAGGGACAATAATGAAAATTTCATTAAATTAATATGTAAAATCAATTTTGGTTAATTTAACTAATTTTGTGAGTTAATTTGAAAATGTGTGTATGATAAATGAAAGAAAATAAGATTCTCAACAACTTTTATGAACATATCAGCTCCTTTTACAGCTTCCTTCTTGGAGAAAAATCACTTTGAATGTTTGATTTAGAAATTAAACTAACTTATGAAGTCGCCATTTTGAAAGTTTTTGGTTAAAAATGTAGTTTTTGTATTTGGCTATAAACCACTGAAAGAATTATGAAGATTGAACAACTAAACTCTAAGTAAATCAACTTTCAATATTTGTTCACTTTTTTCGCGGTCTTGCCCAAAACTTTTTCATCAAGGAATTTCATTTTTGAAAATAAATTTTGAAAGAAGTTCCCTTTTTGTTACAAAGAAATTTTATATATTAACTTCCCAAGAATGTGTGCGTAAAATATCTAAAAAGTGCGTCCTGTGTATAGAACATTAAGCAAAACGTGATGTCACGTAATTTTCCTTCTTTTCAACTATAATAAAAATGATGAAAACTTCTCATTTTCATTTTTCTTTTTTCCTCAGTTTCTTTCTTTCTTTCCTTCCTTTGGTGAATTAGAGAATATAAAAATATGTGGATATAAAACAATATAGAATGGAAGTGAACAGAATTATACAGTAATGAAGTCATAAATGAATGACGAAGACGCAGTTTTTATGTAGTGAATTTTTGATGATGATTCAGATTGGCTTGAAATCTTTATTGTTTCTTCTTTTGGTCTATACTAAACCATATAAAGAGATTTTATAGCAGGAGGTGGAATTAGCGATCAAGACTATGAGTTTTAATAAAATAAATAAAATCTTTTATATAAAACTTTTTTCCTATCGCAAATAAACCACTCTATGTACCTTAAAAAAGCCACATTGCAAAAAAAAATTATTCCTCAAAAATAATTCAGACAAACTGCTTCAAAGCAAAAGTCTTCCTAATTTTCTTAAAAATCCCATAAACCAAAACAGAACAAAAAGGAACAAAAAACTTTTTTATGATTGCCTAAATTACAGAATTATCCTCAATATAAATCAATATATGCGTCAAAATAAGGAAAAAAATCTTTCCCTCAGCCTTAACATTTGCTTCTTCTACTGCTTTAATATACCAAGATATGTTGTTGATGATGATGAGGATCAATAATTGACATACGTACGTTCTGTGTGATGAAAAATTGAATTTATTACAATTTGAGTCGAATAAAGTAGAAATATGTCACCCAAAACTAATAAAATTATTATTATTAAGTCTTTCCCTTCTAGAATTTTATATGTTCCTTTATTGATTGCCACATTGTCACATTTTTATATTCAACCAAACTTGTTTTCTTTACCCTCTTATTTTATCATCTTTTCTCTACATTTATCTCCTATCTTAGATATTACGAGATATTCGCCAAGGATTAATGCAACAGGGACGTAAAGGTATGTATTGATATGATTTATTAACATGTGTCATAAACTTGTAATTGAATTGAGGACATTGAATAAATGTGAATGGAAAAGAAGTTGAATGTTAGATCTAAATTAGTTATGGTTCATCTTTAAGGTAAATGGAAAAATTCGTTACATTAGGTTACATTATTTATCAAGATTATGGTGTGGAAAATAAGGAACGAATTGAACAGGATTTTTTTTTATTACTTTCTTGATTTTAAAATCCAGTTTGATTGTTAATTCAAACAGTCCAGTCAGAAATTCATTTCTATTCTTGGAGATTGTACACGGATGATGTTTAGTAAGAATAAAATATTTGACTTATTTGTAGATTCAGAATTATAAGTTTTAAGATCCTAATTCCCTCCACTTTTGTCAATGGTAGGCGTCATTTATGAACGATCCCATAGATTATTGAAAAAATCTTTATTTTTCAATTTTTGTCCATCCTTGCGAAAGTTTTGTAGTATTTCCAAATTTTGTAGAGCACAATAATTCCTTACTAGGGTGCAAAAAAAAACCATCAAAACAACAAAATATCAACTTACTTACTTTACTTCGCTGGCCGTACAGATCAATTGTGATCCATGGCCTAGGGTTCAAAAAATATCAACAATGAAAGGAAATGTAGCAAAAGTCAAAGCAACTTCCTAATATCTTCAAATTCACGCTTAAATGGAAATCTTAAAAAGTTAAAAATACACTGCTTAATAGCATCACGTGAAGCAATATTGACATAAAAGATTCTTTTTGTTCTCTTGCCATTCACTGCCTTTTGCGGAACAAATAAGCTTATTAGATAAATAAAAAGGAATAAATGAGAAGAGTTTTGATGTTGAGTCCTGGTGGGAATTGAATGTTTTTCATGAAGGGTGATTCATTTGCCGCAATAAAAGTGATGAATGAATGACAGATGAGAGGTTAGTGATAAAAGATCGGGCAAATTTTTATAGCAAGTTTAAACATAACACTTATTGCTGCTCAAGTAGAATGCCCAGATTTAAACTTAATCCATCAAAGATTTAGAATAACGATGACTAAACCAATTTATATCTCAAAACTCACGAAAGAAAATTCTAGTGAAAATTTCAAACATTTCTAATAAATGTTTTGAAAATTCCCACTGGATATTTCATATATTTTACTTTCTCCTTCATGACTGCTTCGTCTGGTATGCCAAATAGATAGAATAATGTGAATCACGTTTGATTACTATTAATTTTCATTCTTATATGCTTTTTTTGCAACGAAACGTATAAAACGAATGAAAAATGAGAATGGAAGGGATCCTTCCACTTTTGCTTTCTTATTTGATATGTCTGCATCATAAAAGAATATCAAGAAACGAAAGGCAAGTGAGCGAGAGATGGAAATAAAATCCAATTTACAGAGCAAAATGCTCGACTGAGCAAATTTTCGGTTTTGATGTTTTTGTTTCTCTCCCCACATTTATTTTTCCCTGTACACTTTATCTACTTTCACCCCTAAGCATCGCGCATTTGTCGATTTCTACGTTCTGCAACATTTTTTTTTTCATTCCAAATTATAGGAATTTTTTTCTCAAGAATTTTCATCTCTTTTTCATCTTCACTTGATGTCAAAATGAATTTTATTCATCCATACATATTATGTGTGTACACACACACAGCATATAGAAGCTTAAAAGGGAAAATTTCTTCACATCATATAGGCAAAAAGTTGTTGAATCACAAAATCATTCCTGAATTGGTATGAGGGAGCTAGAAAGGAATTTTATGAATGTTAATCAAGCAATATGTGCACACCGCGCACATTACTCGTATTTAACTCCAATTTTTTCTTAAAAGTTAAGAGTTAGAAAAATTCCTTGTTCGTTGAATTTAAGGAAAAATATGTTGGGATAAGTAGAATATATAAGGGACAATTATTTGAGCAGTGACTAAAGCGCATTTTGCTCTTTATTAACTTACTGACATGCTTTGGCAATCAGGTGCAAAATCATTCGCCATTGATCAAAAATTATCTCAGTTTAGTATTCCAAAATACAGGCTGTAACTGTGACAAGCTTTAAATTCAAAAAGTTGAAATTTTAATTAAAAGTAATGCAAAACTCAAAAGTATCCAATGCCCATCCAGACAAATTATTGTGCTCGTTTTATATAATGACAATAACGCATTAATTCCTTTCTCTGCATGTAAAAAAAGTTATCTAGGATTAATGGAATTTAATGAAATTACTTTCCATTCCTGTCTCATATTCAGAGCTCCCATGAGACTTATTTTCATGACAAAATAAAATGAGCTCAAGTCACATTTTAATTTTTTACATATATTTTAATTAAGCACAAATTTTTATTCCTTCCAATCATTCCTGCTTGCTTAATACCGCATGATGCCTCCATTCTTTTATAATAAAAGGATATTGTCATTTAAAAAACGTAAATTTTCAACGCTCTCCCTTTCAATGTCGTTTGGCGTTTCACACAAAAATTTCATTTTTTTTTTATCCCTCGACAGCAATTCAAATTGAATTTGGTAATGGAAATGAAAATGAAAAAAAAAAAGTTCTGACTGAATTGTTAATTAATTCCAATCGAAACCACATTTTCTGAGCCTTTGCCATTTCAATGCTTCATACAAAAACATTCTTGGCACATGAAAATTGACAAAAGGAATTCACACTTGCAGTCGAAGTCAATTGATTGCTGGAATAATAAAATTTTTGTGAAAAATTGAAATTGAACTTGTTTGTGGTGGAAAATGTTTTTATGACAAGTGTTTTTTTGATTGGTGAAAGGAATGGAAAACAAATGGATATGGAAATGGATATTTGGTAGAAAATTTGAGACAACTTCAGAATAATTTGCAAACTTTTTATTCAGGGAGGGTTTTTGGAACACTGTCTGAGAAACAAAAAGGTTCCAGAATGTAACATTTTGGTAAAATGTAAGCCCTAGGGCAAAAATGTACTATAATATAAATACAACTAATCTGAACTTAGAGAAGGGTACAAGAATGCAGAAATGATTTATAAGAATTTAATCAATTTTGATTATTTTTGATCATTTTCGATCATTTTTTAGCATTTTTTGATAATTTTTGATCATTTTGATCAGTTCCGCATGCTCAATAGGGTAGCTTTTAAAACCGGCATCTGTTCTTAACCAGTTTAACTTAAAATCTTTTTTAATTCCGACATCATTAAAAAATAACACCAAAAGTTATATAACTTTCCCATAAATAGAGATTTGACAAAAATTTGGATCGTGTGACTGAACTACGTAACTATTCAACGTAATCATTAAATGAACTTAAATAAAGAATTCCTTTCTGTAATAAATTAACCATCGCCGTTTACGATTTTCACATTCTTTCGCTGATTTTATGAAGCTTTTTACAGTCGCAAATTTTTAGGTTGATAGCTTTTTTTATGTTCCTACTTAAGTATCCTTTTTTATTCATCATATTTTATTTCAGTTTTAATGTTTCTGTAAATAAAGCTTGGGAAAGATATAAGAGGTGCTTTATAGAAATACTAATATATTGAAATAAAACTATTTGCTCAAAACTTCAAATTTGGGATATTGAAAATTGAAATTTATATGGTTTTTAATTTTTTATTGAACAACAATTTTAGTTGTTTAATAAATAAAATTGTAGCTTTTAATGGAACACCTAAAATAAATATTTGAATATAACTTCAAGATCATAATGCATATTTTTTTTTTGTTGGTTTCATTGTTTTTGAATGAACCATTTTGAACTGTTTCAATATGTTTTTTAAAGACATTAACCAAACTTTACGACACTTTACATTCACTTATGTTTTTGAGTCTTTTGTACAGAATCCTCGATCTGCATTAGACTTCATAAGTCAATGACACCTATTCTCACAACGTGTTTAATTCTTTAGACACAATCAAGTAATTTTATTCTCAAAAATATGAAACATATTGAAACACATTTCATTTTACTCTCAAACATAACGAAACAGAAAAGAGGAATCTTTAGAAAGTAGAATTCCAAAAAAAAAAAAAAAATATTTTCACAAAGCCAACATTCACATGAGATGTTGGAAAATGAAAAATCAACATTACTTCGTATAACAAATTCATGGATGAAAGAAAAGGATGGAACTAAAAATTTAAAGCGTGCTATGATGTGTATAATGAAAAAGTCCTTTGATGGTGCTAAAAAAGCGCTGTTATTAAGTAAAACAAGTCATCCTTTTATGCTTCAAGTGTATTATGTTATGCTTTACAGTTTTATGAATTGCCAGCGGAATGAAAAACTCATAAATTGTTATGGCATATTTCACTTCTTTTCCATTCTTTTATTCTTTTTCCATTCATGTTCACATAACTTTTTTTTCCTATACATGTGTACATACACATGACTATGAGTATGTGTTCATGAAAGGACATAAAAGCTGACTCTCTTTTTTTACCGAAACAAAACAGAATCCTTCACATTGTAATATTTTTTAATTCACTTTACTAACATTATTTTTTTATTTTCACTCATTCATTTCACGTGTCTGTAGATGATACGTACATGTATGACGATACTATAGCCACCAGCAACTATCGAAACATTCACCCACATCAACACTGGTACGACGAGCCGCCATATGAAAGTGATCCGGATGATTTTTTAATGGCAGGCCTTGGACCAGCCGCTACCATTCAGGTAAAAATAAAATAAAATAAAATTGTTATTACAAGTACTTTACACCATGCAATCATTCATGAATTGCTTCTGTTGCTGTCAATGTTTCATAATGGATACCATCATTAAAAATAATTAAGAGCGGTACAATCACTTTATTTAAAGTATACATTAACACATTCCGAGTGTGGCTGCTTTACTTCTTGTTGCTCGTTTATTTACAAATTGCAATGGCACATGTTTATGAATTGTATATTGTAGATTATGGTAAAGTTGAATCAAAAGTTATCATTGATCATGGAACGTGAGAATATATTTAATGACTCTTAGTATTGCATTAAAATGATAGAGAGTTGCTACAGGTGTGTCTAATATTTCGCAACAAAAAACATAAAGATACTCACATCTTTAGACTTAAATACTTTAATATCCATAAAATTCTGTACATTCATTAAAATTGTCATCAAACCATTGGAAGTAGTTTTAATCAACAAAGCAAATTAAAACCATTAATTTCTGGTCATTTTGGGAATCACAACATGAATTTTGTAACAAAAAAAAAGGGTTCATTAGTGTCCTACAACAAGCATTGCATTTTTAATTTACAATGAAAAAGTTTTTGTGACCATGAATCATAATGGTTTCATATTGCTACCAAAAACTTTTTCCTCTTACCAATAATGTCATGTTCATGAACCAGCATTTACTTGTAACATTATATGATATATTCTATGAGCACAGTCATTATTTCATAAATTGTCAGTTTTGGTAGCATTTGCTCTTTATAACAATGGAAATAATTGCGATAAAAAAAATGACAAAATTTTGCTGATCTTTTAATTGATTTGATTAGTTAATGAGGTCAGCTTGCGAAAGAGATGTGCTGTTTGGGATAGAAATTAATGATTTTTGTGGTGATAATTAATAAAACTAAATAGAAGAATCAATGCAAGGTTAATAGTTTTTGAACTTTCATGAACTTTCGTGAACTCAATATGATCAAAGGCATCTCAAGGCAAAAGCTAACGTTAGAAGTTTTTTAAAAGTGACCACACATTTCATCAAATTACTGCCAAAAAAATGTGCTCAAACTAGCATGAATCATTTCATATCCACTGCCTCTTCGAGATAATAAAAAATGCCTAATGTTGTGGATTTTATGACCATAAAAGAAGCAAAATTTTGACTTACAACTGTAATCACACCAAAGTGAAAGTGTAGAACACAAAAGCCAGCCATTTCTTCCACTTTATTTATTTCGTACACACGTAAGAGAGTCGTATGACGAGGGATAATAAAGGGGAGCTGAACACAATAAGTGAAGCCAACTTTACCACGATAATGCATAAAAATTTTCTACTTCGTGTTTTATTGCCACAAACAGAAATTTTCCATTTTTGCTAGGACGCGCAGAAACTTCTTTTTTTGTGTTCCATTTTCATTTATGAAAAGGCAGACGCAACAAAAAAAAAAGGCATAATAAAAACAGAGAGAAGAAAAATTTATTTATGACATGCAGAAATGTCGTAGAAAGTGCTCTGTGACATAAATTCCACTTTAATAATTTTTCCATTTATTTATTTATTTTCATATCCACCAAAAATGACACAACCAAAAAATTCAGGGAGCCCGCGTGTGTTATACAACAAGCGGTCCTGGGGTGATATCCTTACGATCGGCTGGTGACATATCAATATCACAACAAAGACCAATACGTCGAGGCCTTATCGTTCCACAACAGCCACCGAATCCTCCAACAATTATTCCACTTAAAAGGTAAGGATTAATTTTATATTTAATTTCATTACATTTTCCCATTTAATTTAAAATATTTTAATTACCTTAAATAGATCACATGATGTAAGAGGAGTGAGTGGAGATTATGCAGCTTCTGTTTCAGATATTCATAGTGTTACATCGCGATTAAGTCAAGTATCGGTGAGTTTAATTGAATTTAATGAAAAAAATTATTACGAGAATTAATTTTGCAATAATAGGCGTAGACTATGAGGCACGTTTAAGGAAAATGCTGGTTGTTTTAAGTTCCAGCATAAGTTTCAAAACGAAATATTTTCAGACTCAAAATGAACTAAATTAAAAATAAAGATTGTATACCTTAATACTCATCTTCCTTAACTAAAGGTAGCAAGCGAACGTCCAAAGCTATTGGTTCCTTTTAAAAATATTAACCATGCCTATCGTCTCACTCTGATTAAACCTCATCATTTGCCTCCTATTTCGCTGTAATCACATTGCTAATGCAATAAGCAAACTTCATAAAATTGAAATTTTTTTAATTAAATTCATAAATATTTTGTTGAGGCTGCTTGAATGTGAAACATCCAGCAGTTTACCCGCGAGATGAGGGTTGTAAAAATTTCATTTCATTTTGCAACAACATAAACATTGTAGAACCAATTAATTTTTATTTTTATCCAGAAAAATGGAAATAAAATGTTTTTTTTTACACTTTTTCATTTCCTCGTCAGGTTGGTACGAACCACTGTACAACACGCTATCGAACGCTGAGTGGTGGCATCGGAAACTCACCTTCACCGACGCATTCATCAGATTATGTCGATGATGATGATGATGATGAGGATGATTTGACAACAAATACGGCTGTACTTAATGGATTAACAAATTCATCAATTGTTGGAAATTCAACGAGTAACGGTAGCTGTGGAACAGCAGGATCGACAAGCACAAATGTGATGATGACAAACAATTTGAAATCAAAACGAAATAACCTTTCGTCGCATTTGCATAAAACATCATCAACAATAAGCTATCAGAAGGCAACTGTTCATTATGTAAGTGATAAAGCTTTTATTGTTTACGGACTTAATTATTGCGGTTTTCGCTTTTGCCTTGTTAGTTTATGACTGTAATTTGAAATTAATTCAGTCTCTCTTATATAAAATTCAAGTGTTTTTGGGTATAGCTGAATGCTTATCATTGCCCTTAGTAATCCAAATTCACTCAATCATCAGTCAAAAATTTTCTCAGCCACTGTTTACTTTACTTCACCGACTTTCATATTAAATTTTTGTTATTTGCTTTCATGTTTACAGCTTTGTTGTATTTTCATCTTTGAGAAATAAAAAAATATAGCTCGTAGTTCATTGACTTGAATCAAAAATATTTACTTCGTTCGTCGCTCTTTGAAGTCTATAAAAAAAAATAAAGAAAATTAATTTCCATCTTTTTTGCACAGGAATAATTTAATGAGACTTCAAGAAGTATTTGATGTAAATTTTTTGGAATTCTTGCAAAGGGGACGTTCACTTATGACGTCCATCAAAAAACCTGATTTTTAGACCCCCCCTCCCCCTCTATGTCACAAAAATTCTATAGAAAAAAATTTCCATTGTTTGAACTGTCACAAAGTCTTAGACCCCCCCCCCCTGAATGTCGGACGTCATAAGTGAACGGTCCCTAAGATGATGGAAAATTGGCTTTATAATTATTTTGATCGTGAAAAATTCTTAGAATTTATAAGAAATTTAAAGCTATTGCTATGCTTAAAAACTTATAAAAAATTAAGCATATTCATTAAAGTATATCGAAGCTGAAATTAGGAACTATGAAAAATTCAATCCGCTGACGAAAATCAAACACAAGTTTCAAAGTTTAGCAAAGAAGTCTCACAATTCTATTTCATAGATCATATTAAAATTTAGCAGGTTTGCCACTTTAAAACCTGAAACCCTAAATTCAATTCTGTTCCAGAACATAATTTTAAATCAGTTTTTAAATTAAAATTCAAATCAGACCTGCGAAAAAAAATCTCATAAATTAAAAGAATCTCACTATTATCTCCCCTTCAAGAAAATTAGATTAATCAGACTCAGTGATTGAGGAAAAAGTAAATTTGATTTTCTTCTTTCCTGCTCGAATTAATCAAACAATAAAGATGATTTTTCATTTTTCCCCCCTTTACACGATTTCTTCTTTCAATCTTTGAATTTCTAAGAAAAATACAAACATTTTCGATTGTGGAATATGCAATAACAGTAGGAAGCAGCATAAACATTGAGAATAAATACACAATTACATTCATTTTTCTTCCGATTTTATTTCGATTCTTGATCGACGTCAGCTGAATGTATTGTCTGTATTTTTGCTCGTTTATTGTACAATGAAAAATATGTATTTTGTCTATCATTCATTATTGCCTTTATCAAGCGTTGAATGCCGAAAAATGATATGGATGGAGACAAATGTAAAAAGGTTTGGTGACAAAATTTAATTATGAATTAAGCACAGAGCGCATTTTCTGTGTCGAAGTCAATTAATTACTTCTTCAATTACCAAAAGACAGCAGGAGATGTTTATATGCAATAAATAATACTTCCAACCAAAATGCATAAAAATTCCATCCCCAATTCCCCAAAAAACATGCTAAAATAATAGAAAATGAATATATATTCATCACATCACATAGTGAAAAATAATTTATGCGCTAACATTTCGAAATAGCAACAAAAATGACTTTATTAAGCGCTCGCCCGAGAACAATCAATCATTCAACTTTTGCTTGTGCTATTTGCCCCCATACTCGTGCTCAACGAGACATATAGAACAAAATGGAATAAAATAGAAATTTATGTTGTTAAAAATGAGGTTGGGATGAGAAGCACATTCATCGAGCAAGATGTTATCGTTATAAATAGTTTAGTTGAAATAAGTAAATATGTACATCCATATAGACGATGTGAAAACCAGTAAAGCGTAATAAATATTTAATTCGAGTGCTTTTCATAAATTCATTAGTGCCATCTTGGATCATTCATTCAATTTATATAAATTTTATTCTCATGTGTAGTTACTGATATTCACTTAAGCTATAAGGAGTGCATGGTGCAATTTTGAGATGTGTGATGATAGCTTTGTTCATTTTGTCTCAATTTTAGATGTGCTTTAATATTTAAGGTTCTTGATTTAAGAAATAATCAGATATCTCGTTTTAAATTTGTTATGTGCGTCAAGATCTCTTTCGATTGAGATCTAAAAGTGTGTTTCTCAATAAAGAAGATACAAAATATTCGTCACAGTTCTTTAAACATGTTCAATGTTGTTCTATTCATTTATCAATACTATTGAAAAATCTCCGAGTCATAAGCTTTAGGGGCTTAATCAAAATGTATGGTACGTGCTATATTCTGAGACATTTAAAATGGAAGTCATTAGTCGCCCATCCTGACTACACAACTGTTTTTAAATTCATATCTTAAGAAATAATCAAACATTAAAGAAATGGAAATATTGAATTATTCTTACTAAAGTCTTATTCAGGGTCTTACTTTATAAAGCATGATACCAGAAAATGAAAAAATCTAAGAAGATGCATCGCTTCATTTCTCTTCGTTTCCTATGCTTCAAAATTGCTGCCATTTAAATCCACAAGTGTGCGATAAAATATATAAAATACATTCCATTCTTCCAATTTTTTCATACTCTCGCTAGCTTGCCACTTACATACTTCAGACGATGTACAGAAAGAAATTGCTTAAGATACTCGGGCAATAAAATATTCAACAGATATCGCATCACGTTTTCAAAGTTTTTTTCTTCACAATTCTGCTCAATTCTTACTTTTTGTCTCAAACCAAGGGAGAAAGATGAAAAAGAAAAAAAGATTCTTACGTGCTTTTACTTCTGCATAAATATCTATCAGAAGCATTTTGTGTGTGTGTCTTCTATTTTTAATAAAAATCGATACATTTGAGATATTCCTTCGTCATATTTCTTCCGTTGCTGTAGAATAAAAAGTTCTTTTTGTCCTCCTTCTCATCCTCTACCTCACAGAAGAGTAAACAAGCAGAAAACTTTGTAGAATGTGATTGAGTCTTGGATTTATTTTCATGTCTTTTTTATCTTCAAAGTTTAAAAATTTTGTTCCTTCAATAAAGTTTGGGAAACATGGATCAATGAATGAAAAGAAAAAGAAGTTTTTTGACAAACTGATTAAGGATTACTTTTTAATACAGACGACAGTCAGTCTTGTGATTGATTATGAAGCTTACCAACCATTTCGTCTGCAAGATTGTATGATAAAGTTATGCTATTGAACCATAACATTTATTACTGTACATTTAAAAATACTTTTTTCCATAACAACCAAGTTGGTTGAACCAACCGCATCACACACATATCATATGAATCGAAACTGTTTCAATTTTAGAATTATCTATAATTGAAAAGAAATTGTTCATTTATTACCATAAAATGTGACCTACTTTTATTAATAAATACATGAAAACATCCTTCACAAATTACATTCTGATAAAACCACATTATGCATTGCTCAACATTCTTTAATCCAGTTATGAAACCTCTTCAACATCATTGAATTCCTTTCTATAGCTTACAATGATTGGAGAAGATAATTTATTCCAATATGATCATCATTCCTACAAAGTTTATAGAAAGAAAAGCTTAAGAGATAGTTTTACAGTTTTAAAATGCTCACTATTGAATGGATAGAATGAGCAAGCTATAAAATATCTTCTGTGTGAGCATTCATATGATGCAATTATTCTTAAATTTTTTTAAATTGCTCAAAGGTTTTTCTTTCCCTCTACCAAATCGATTCTTTGTCTGAATTCGATTCTCTTACTTTATTTCATTGTTGCTTGGATTTTCATTCGATTGGATATTTTCTTTCTCTTCTCGCTTCAAAGACAAGGGATGGGGACATATTTGGTCTATTAGGCATTTCATCAAAGGGAGAACACATTTAAAACAGTTAATCTGGAAGCAGCTTTTAAAGCGTCTATTAAAGCTCTAATATTGAAGTATCAAAATTTCGTCTAGTGTGCCGCAAACCTAAAAATCATTTCTTATCGTTTATACATAAGTACCTCTTACTGTAATTATTAAAGTAATCAGGGGCGTAGCCTTAGCGTAACCAATAAAACAATATAATCGAAAAGTAATAAAACCTTCTTTATTCGATTATTAAAAGCTAATTTTATTGTTGCTTTAAACTAATACTACGATTTAAAGTTTAAAAAAATTCAAAAAAAAAATTGTATTAAATTTCAATCTCAAGTAAGCACCTAACGACCCCCTGGCTACGCCCCTAATTGTAATACATTGAATAGATTAAGGCCTATACTAGGTAAACAATCGTTTCTAAGAGTATAAAACTACCAAAAAATTTGAAGTACTAGAAGGCTTGAACCCCAAATACAATAAAGCCTCCATCCCTTGGGTTATCAGGATGGAAAAAATTTAACAAGCTCAATTACGAAATGTTATCGTATTACATATTTTTTTACCACATACGATAAACTTTCCAAGCCACAATGTAGACACACACAAATGTTCCTACATACATATGTTTGCACAATTTTTCATGTTTTATTACGCTTGCAACAATAAAATTGAACTTCAAAATGTCTTCATGTAATTTTATGAACCGAACAACACAAAAAAAACCTTTTTTTTTCATTCTGTATGTGCTCAAAAAAGATCAATGTGAATTGAAAATTTATGTGCCAGACACATTTTGCTACTGGCGATGTTTTTATTCTTATCTCGCTTACTTACAAATTTTTGTTCTGTCTCCTCCTCATTCGAACTTCCTCTTCTTCCTCTTCATGTTCATTATGATCATTATTATTACAGTGTCTCATTCATGCATTTGTCGCGATGCTAAATAAAGAAGAAAAATTTCAAGAATGAATAAAAAAAAATATTAAAAAAAACATGGGAAGAGTCATTATGGTAATAAACGAAATAATGTGAAATGAGAGGGAATTTCTTTTAGCTTTTCAATTATAAAACTTTGTCTTGCAAGACAGAAAAAGTGCTCAACTTTTTGCGGTACATAATTCAATTTTTTTTCCTCCTTTTTTCGCATGTCACCCAGAGGGCTTCTTACTTTCGAACAAGAAATGAATAAGTTAAGTTATGAAAAGTAAGCACTGGATCCAAAACTTTTCAAAAGGAAAACTTCAAAAAGGAAAGAATGATTAAAAATTTTGTTAAAAGGCTGAAGTTCAAAGGTTAATCGATCCTTAATACGTGTTATAGTACCTCCATTAACTCTGATAACTCATCTTTTGTCATTGACTATATAGACTTCTTAGGTGTTTTACTTGTAGGCTTGAGAAATGTTTTAACTTTTTGATGAACAAATTATGCAGTTGACAGTGACAAGCTCCGATATAAACCTTGCCTTATACTATTAATGAATTCAACAAATGCGCTTTTGTCACACAGTTTTATTCCTCATCCATAAATCTACAAAAAGAAACGACATAGTGTGTTCAATTTTCTCAGTTTTCCTTACACAAAATCAAAATTTTTCTTTTACATAAAAGTTTTCTCTTAAAAAGTCATTCAGCGACAGCAAAAAAGAACTCAACCTCTCGCTGTAAATTCTTTTGCTAAATAACCTCAAGGTACACTCAACTTTTATGAACTAACAAGAAATAAAATTGCGGAGCGAAAAAAAAAATTCTTTTTCATATACTTTAATGCCATTCATTACATTTAATTGTTTTACTCACTTTATTTCTTTATCTTTTCTCATTTCACGTTTCTTTGTGCAGTCGAATGATGCCAGAAATTCCCCGAAGGACTTACTAAAAGACAATAGTATAAGCTTCAATAACAATAATAATAGCAATAGCAGAAATCTTAATGTGACTGGTATGGGAGCAACAAAAGATGATAGAAGTAGTATAAGTGATCAAGCATTTCATTGCTCTGCAAGTTCCGTTGAGAGTCTTCCGAGTGCTAGTGGATCAAGTAAGTATCAAGTTATAAAAATTATTATACTGGAAATACAAATTTATCTATTCAATCAGGTACGCAAGCACTTGTAAGATCTGGAAGTCCAAATAGTTCACTTTCAGCAGACGATAGAGCAACAATTTTGCCCATTTGTCGAGCAAAAGCAATTGTAGATAGCGCAACATTTCCGTATGAAAAGGATGCATTAAAATTTAAGGTAAGGAACAGCTTAAATTATGGTTGTTAACTTAAATGACCCTAAATTTCTTATTATTTCCATTCCATTGAAACATACAGAAAGGTGATATAATCGATGTGCTTTCAATGAATGCTTCAGGCGTTTGGAAGGGCTGTATGAATGGTCGTATTGGACACTTTAAATTTATCAATGTTGAAGTCATGCCAGAACAAAAGGGAAAGGCATTAAATAAACTCGACCGAACGCGTAACACGTGTCCGTCAACCGTCGATGAGCTACTCAATCGTATAGGTCTGAAAGAATATACGTCAGTATTTGTATTAAATGGGTACGTGACATTACTTATTTAATTTACTAATTTGAGTCAGAGTTGGAAGATCTATAAGAGCTTGATGGTAATAAGAATAAAATGAGTTCGTGACTTCACCTCATTAAAATCATTTGGTTCAACACTCTGATTTCTATTCTCTTAACTCTCTTGATTAATCAGTTTCCATTGATCCTTCTCATTAGTTCATCACGTACATTATCTCAATCTTTCTTTTCTTTCTTATTTTAATCTACAGCTATGAAGACTTAGAATTATTTAAAGAGCTTGAACCAGCAGATTTGGATTATTTAGGGATATTAAATCAAGAGCATCGTGCTAAGCTATTAGCAGCTGTTCAACTTCTCCATGCTATCGATTCAGCAGGATCAGATGATGTTGCAGGCTCGAGTTCAGAGAATGATGATAGTAGAATACAAAAAAAGAATTCATTGTCTCCTTTTGGGAGACGCCACTTTCCTAGAGATTCTGGATGCTATGAGGGTTCGCCACTGCCAAATATCAACTCAATTCAAAGCAATGATGATGCAAATTGCCTCGATTCCGTCGTCACGCAATGCTCCAACGAACTTATGAAGCGTGTTGATAATTTGCGTCGTACCAAAGACGATTCGACTACACCAAAGAGTTTAAATCGTTTAACGAAAAAGGGATTGCTTGGAGGTGCTGGAATAGATGATTTTAGTAGTTCAAGAAGTAGCAGTGGTGGTGGTGCATTGAGTGAAAAATCAAGTGATAGTGGCGTTAGTAGCAGTAGTTTATCATCTGGGCCAATTAAAAATAATCTATAGCGCATAGATAATGAAATTTTATTAAAAATTCATAATCAAATTAATAAGAATCAATCAGATGATGCCAAAAAATAGCTCAATTATTAAAATGACGAATTTTTCACTGCTCTTAACTTTCAGTATTTATTCTTGTTTCTATTTTACTTGTTCAATGAGAAGCTTTCAATTGGAAAATTCTTCTATTTGCTTTATGCTTTTCACCCCACAACTTAGAATCGACTGTTGCATATTTTCCATTGGTTATTCCATCAATTTTTAAAAAAAATTACAGTAAAATATTTGAAAAAGAGAGGGAAAATTTAGAAAATGTAAATAACAGACTGATAGCTTTAGCCACAGAACAAAAATGTAGAAAGACGAAAAGAATTCAGAACATGACCATAAAAAATCACTTTTCAAATATTTGAGAAGAGATTTCAAAGCAGACCGAAAGCAATCACAAAAGGTGTGCAACAGGGCTATGTTCAGGGGGATTTAGAAGAATACCTAGCCAAAGTCTTTAAAAACACCATCTACTCCTCTGTAGTGAGCTTTAGAATTCCAAAGTCCACAGAAAACGAATGTTTGGACAGTGATTAGTTTTTCACTCATCAACTATATCTTAATTAATCAAACGTCCAAATTGGAGTGTTTCATGCGATTACATTCATTCCAAAATTCCCTATTCAGCTATTTCCATCAAAATAGCACACTTTACATGATTTGATGTCAATCATTTCAGCTTAATTTAAAGCTCGTCAAAATAGCGTGCATTACACGATTAATTTGATACAAAACACACTCAACATTCTATTAGTTCTAAATATAGCGTGTTCAGCACGAGCCTCACATTTATAAAAATATATTTGTTTTTCCAATAAATAAATCATCCATTAGCCCGACCCGAAATGCTTTAATGCTGACTCAAGTTTAGAGCTTTTTCATGTGAGCTCAATATTCATGAACTTCATGGTATGGAACTAAAATCTAAGAATTTTTCACATGTGACATAATTTATTATCTTACCCACATCGCCCAACAATCTTCAATCTCCTTTTTTGTGCTTCTTCTTTAGTCTCGTTTTTCTTTTTGACACTCAAGTCATGTAACAAAATCTCTATTTCGAACGGAACGCAACACTTGAGGAATTCCTATACTGAAATGGAGAGGAAAACCACAAAAAGTTTTGGGTCAATAACATTAAAGTGTGAAGAAAAAAAAGCGGAAGTGGCAGTGGTAAAGAAAATCGATTTTCCATAAATTTTTCTTTCATTCTCACCACTCACACATTCCGTTTCATTCAAGACACGCGGGGCTGCTGTTGCTGTTGTATGAATTTGTATACACACGATGGAGTTGTAATAATACATTGCCAGTACGTCACAAAACTGAAATTTATTGCCTTTTACCTTATTTTTGCTGTTAAAGATTTTCTTTTTATTTTTATTGCACAACAATTTTCCTCTTTGTGGCAAATAAACATACATATAGGCGATGAAAAGGAACGTTTTTAGTTTCCTTTTCATCCTTAAATGTTTGTTTGTTCATTTCTATTTCCTTCTTTTTGTTTCTTTAACTTGTAATAGTCCTCAAAGGAGAAGCAAACTGAAAATCGAAAAGTGAGTTCTTCACGCAAATCTTTTTATGACTTGGGAAATGAAAATGAGAAAATGATCCATTAAAAAGGAATTCCAATTCACGAACATAAAGATTGGGACTTAGAAGTTGTTGAAGCATTTTGGTATAGATTTCGAATTTATTACATGTAAATTCGATGGAATTTTAAGTCTAATTTAAAGAAAATGTTTTATAAAACTTCTGGTTAAGACAAAATCTGACTTCTATGGCTGAAAATGAGCACAGTGCATTTTCACTATGAGAAATTAATGATATAAAGTAAAAACATAGTGCTAATGAGCCTTGAAAGACAAATTTGAAAGTCAAAAGCTCAGATATTAAACAATATATTTTTGCAAAGTGATTGAACAAACTTACTAAACCAATTATATATTAGAATGAGTCGATAGCTATGCACAGTGTTCCAATTTACGATTCCTATCTGGTCGACACAGCCCATGCAAAAATCTTCATCTGGTTATTGTATTTAAACTTTCTAGAATCTTTTAAAATCTAGTCCCGAATGGCACAAGTCGATTAATCGAATAGAAATCCAGTCGGCATGACTCTGGCATGGTGCTGGCTTCGATTCAAATCCAGCACCATACCAGATTCACACTAGCTTGGTGCCGGATTTCTGATCGATTAACCGACTTGTGCCATTTTGTAGGTATGCAATCAAATCTCAATAATTCATTCTCTTTTTCAAATCACCTCCAACTCATTGTCGTGATAATCCCTAAGATTACAAGCTAGACGATAGATGCCAATAATCTGAAAAAAAAATAATAAAAAAGGAAAATAATTTTATTTCCTGTCTTGATTTCGACTTTTCTTTTATATTTAAAAATATAGTAAAAAACAGAAAATTTATATCCGTTTATACTCTCTAAAATATTTTATACATTTTCCAAATGATAGTCAGTTGCAACAAACAGAACAAGTAAAATGATATATATATATAAAAAATATATATCATATAATATACATTATACATGTATAGACAACAATTCGTTTTGCCTTATAAAATTCAACAATACAGTAAATCAATAGTTCGATATATATCACATAAATTTCAACCACATCCCTCGCGCTCGCTCGCTTAATGCTTGAAAAAAAGCTAGCAAGAAATAATTTTTTTTTCTAGTTTATTTGCCGACAGCTATAAAATTTATATATTTCATGCCAAAAAAAAACTTTTTTTTCCAGTTTCTCTCCAAACTTGATTCGATTTTTTTTTATAAATTTTCTCATATTTAAGTTTCTCGTGTCTAACAAAACATGAAAAAAAGTCAAATAAATCCTGTATGTAGATAGATAGAGAGCAGATGTCAAATGTAAGGTTTAAATTCATACAAAAAAAATGAATATTGAAGGAATAAATGAAAATATGTTTAATGTTGATATGAAAATGAGGACAAAAAAAATGAAACTTTAATTTAGTTTTTCAGTCATTTTTGATGGAAAAGTTTTTGATTTTCACAGTTTTATGGCTGTTGAAAAAAAAAACTTTCTTTTGTCTGAAAAGCGTCAATATTGAGCAGACACGAAAATTCAATAAAATGACTTTGAAGAATTGTTAATGACCTAAAGTGTCTGAATTTTTGTGACTCTCAAATTGAGCTCAGATTCGAGTCAAGATATGAAAGTTATGAATCACAATATCGAATTTTATTAATTTATAAAAAACATTGAACTTTCAAATTAATTTGTTAAATTTGTTAAATTTTTTTTGCTATTTTTGATAAATTGGCTTTTGTTATGAAAATAGGAGTAAGCAATAGCTAACAAATTCAATCAATTGTAATTAGTTTATCTGAAAAAAAAATGTAAGTTAACAAAAAAAAAAAATAAAAAAAATTATTCACAATAAAAAAAATCAATTTTTCTCTGCTTTGAACAGAAATGAATGAAATGTGCTTTTGTAAAAAGTGTAGGTATGTAGGAACAAATTTGAGCTGATGAGCATAAACGAAATACAGAGCAATAGAAGGATCTGACTAAATCAGATCGACTGAATGAAATTGTAGTCTTCAATATCTGCGTGATTTTTGACTTATTTTGCAACAATAACTGCAGTTGTGTTCAAACTTTTGTCTGTGACACATTAAATGAAAAAAATGTGTCACGCTACAAGCTAGTTTATCCACAACTGCAACATCATTTCACATCTCAGAAATTATTAAAATGCAGCTCAGAAAACAATGCATCCATCACTTGATAAAACAATGATTAATGTTGGATGCTGTTCAGTTTAGCTGCACAATTTATCAAAATATTGGATGCAATCATAAGCATTATTTATTCTGAATGAAATTCAAATTAATATGCTGACAAATTTTCACCATTGAATTTTATTTTAAAAGAGTTGAATTTGAATAAAAATTCGATAAATCAAAGTCAAGAGAAATTTATGAGATGCGAAATTGAGTTTAAAAGATCAAGATATGCTTTTTTAATTTTTTTTATAAAATATCTTCATTGCAGATAGAATTGAAATAAAAGCTTGAAAGATTTGCTTCAATTTTCAATTTTAAACAGAAAACTACAAAAAATATTAAAATAAAAAAAAAATTGAATTTATTGATACAGTCGATAAATGATGTGAATATGAATTTTTTGCAACTTGTAAATAGAATAGGAAATTAAATATTCAAGTTGGAAAAGCAAAACTAATCATTTTTCCACTTAAGAAAATGATCAAATTTAAAACAAATTAAATTTCCAATATGTTGAATATTATTTTGTTACACAATCAATAATGATGAAAGAAGTTTTAATAAATTAAAGCTTAAAAACTCGAGTTCTGAACCAGAAAAATAAGAAAAATTTCTTGAGTCTGACATTACTATTTATGGTGAGTAAGGATCAAGCTAGAAGTTAATTAAGTTTAATTTTCAATGTTAATGAGGCTCAACAAAGTATCTTAATCATTCGTGTACCGGCAAAAAAATGATTAAAAAGTACGTAATTCGGGATTCACCACTGCCAAACTCATCCTTGCCCCTGTTATTAATACTTCTTTGATGCTGTGTTTTTTTAAAATTTTCTAATCATAAATTTAATTAAAATTTATTCCAAAAAAAAATTCCTAGCCTCTTAAATCCACTCGTCCGTAAACTGTGAAATGTCAAGCTTTTAGAATTCTCTTCGTTCAGACTACAAACGATCAAAAATTATTTATAGAAAAATTCCATCCTTTGGCCTTTCAGTAACATTTATACAGCAAATATAGACATTCATAAAATACATCACATCATCATCATCATCAGCAACAGCAGTTCCAAAAATCAATGTCACAATCATATTTTCTATTTTTCGTTTTTGATGACAGTCTGGAAAGTATCAAAAATGTGTCATATCCGAAAAATTATATAAAGCTTATAAAAAAAACTTTAAGTGGAACTTTTTTGTCGTTTAAAAAAACATATTTTAAAGCTCAGGATCAAAGAGTTTTTATGGGAATCGATAAAATTTGTATCGAGTTAAAATTTTACAGCAGTTAAAATAGAAGGAGAACAGAATTCAAACTTTCTGATTGGAATTTGAACTTTATTGCTTTTGGGTTAGAATTTATCCGTTCATGCACAAGTGAAACGACGAAGCAGAAGTAGAAAAAGAAACTTTCATGTTGGATGTAAATTGAAACTTTTTGCATTTTTTTACGACACAAAAAACCTTTAATTTAAAAGTTTTTCACTTTCTAAATTGGATAATTGGTTTATAGCTGTTTGCAGCTCATTTACACCCAATGCTAGCAAACAGAAATTTTTGAGTTCTTATTATTCGAACTTCGAATTTTCGAGGTTCTTATTCTTCGAAAATCGAATCTTCGAAGCTCTTATTTTTAAAAAAATTCGTTGTGAATTATTATTTTTCGAGTAATTTGTAATTTTAGTGAACATTCTTACTAGTTTTTATGATTAAGATAATCAATGTGATGAAATTGCATTCCTTAAATGTTTATGCTTTAAAAAACACCTAGTTTAAAAAAAATAAAAAGTAACAGACTTTCTTATTTTGAAATTTTAAAAAAATACCGCGCGAAAATTTTGAATTTTTTTTGTTTGTAACGGACTCTGTTCTCTTTGCTAACATTGGATTTACACGATCAGAAAAATTTTCAATCAGACTAGTCTTGTTTCAAATTAAAGGTCTTTTGGTTGTTATTTTGTTGGATATGTCGATGGTTAAGGAATTTAAGGTTTGAACAATCATGTAAAGAAAAATGTTCAATGCATGAGCCTTAGAAGTATGTTTAAGAGGAGCATTAAAGTGGTACAAATTTTTAATCATTAAAATTTAATTTTAGAGCAGTTTTTTGTGGCTTACTATTTAAATTGTTGATGTCTATTATTCCTTTCTTGACATAAATTTAGGAAAAAGCTACGCCAGATATGCATAATTTTTTGTCTTTTCGGGTTTTGCAGGTTTTTGCTTCAAAAGCCCTAGCAAATTAAAAAATGTTTCCAAAGAAGGGACCTCCAAAAACTCTTATTTGGCTACGCCCGTGAATTTAATTTTATTTTTTTTAGATATTTTGATCAATTATAATTCTAAGTCGACATCTGGACAAGTAGTTTAGTTGACTTCTAATTTTAAGGATGATTATCGATATCCACATACGACTATACTTGTGCTAGACAAATCATCCAGTTGCCAACGATAAAATATTTATTATTTTGGCATTTACACATTTTTAAATTACAAAATTATCCAGAATTTATTATAATTTTACTTCCTCTCCGTGTCTAATTGACAGTTTTGCCTTCAACGTTACCATACGAATTAAGTTTAGAAAGTAATGTCGATAAAATATTTATTTCAATTTAATACAATTTAATAGTTTGGTTAGAGCAATGCAGAATGTACATTTGAGTGTTGATTGTTAGAGATTGTTTAACTAGGATGTGTCGAGTTGAATTTGTAGACAACGTTTAAGTTCGAAAAAAAGATTCCCTTTGTAGTCGCCAGTAGAAACAACGAAAGTGAACGGAAATAATTCATAACTTCCATAAATTCTCTTTGACTCCATAATTTTCTATGTACTCATTTAAAGTAAGTATTTAGAATCAAAAATGTTGAAAAACACTAACGAGTAAGTAGATAAAAACATCAAAAAAAATTATTTCGTAAATCAAGTCGTCGTTTAGATAAAAAATAAAAAAAAACTAATTTAAAACAGCAAAAAAAAATATCAAAAATTTTTATATGTCCAAAAAAATAAATTGTAATTTATGAAAAGGCTGAATATTAAAAAGTTTATGAGCTAAAATGGCAAAATAAAAAAGTTTAGCTGAAACAAGTATTACATGCCAAACTGAAAAGGTCGGAAAACAACACACACAAAAAACAAAATGTAAAAAATTAAATCAAAAAAAAAATTTGTCCAATTTGAGAGAATTAAATTTAATTGGTCATCATTAACAGCAATGGAAGAAGATCCTTCACAGAATCTAGAAAATAAAATGAATTGACTGAAACAAATTGAAATTTGTATGTGTTTTCATCATTATCAATTCCTTTTGTTCCTTTTCTATATCCTTAATTTATTCCTTTCACACTGCTTCCATAAAAGCATATTTACCATTTTCATCTTACAGGGTATGAGACTGACTGATGAGATTTAATTAAAGGAAAATAAATTTCATTCAAGATTTTATTAAGACGATGCAGAACATACATGGAAGCAAACAAGAAAGTAAACTTTACAGTTTGTTGAACATCCTTTCCATAAATAAAATAAAATGTAGTCTGTGTATCCTTCACATATAAAGTTTTATGGTATTAATACGAACATCTTTCACAGGGGTTGTTATGAGGTTATGTGACTTGAACTTGGTTAGGTTGTAATTTAAAATTAAAGGATTAAAAAACGGTTTTAAGGAGTTTGTTCCTTGAAATTGATTACATGAATTTCAAGACGAGATTATATATCCCACAACTTATATATTAAGAGAAATCGACACCTATTACATGATACTTCCTGTTGAATCTAGTCCTCAAAGCTTTAAATTCAGATCTTAAGAATAAAATACTTCAGTTTATAATATCCAGTTGCTCTTAAAGTTTCTCCAAAAGTTTCTACACCCATACAGAGCAAATAATCCCCAAAAGGACAATGACAAGATCTTGAAAGACATAGCATGACATACTTCATCACAAATTGAGTAAATTTAAGCATCAGCATATTTATTTTAAATCATGAGACAACAATCCCTTCTTCATACTCCCATTCTTCTATATTTAAGAATCAAATTTGTATGAATCATAAAAGACTGAAGAATATTGAAGATGAAATCAGTGCATGAACATTATTTTATGAGGAAGAAAGTCTTCCTTCTATATGATGAGCTTAAATGATGAATAATAGGAGAAGTCAAGATTCACTTTACATCAAGTTATGCATTTATGGGGGATATGTAAGTAAAGAATGAATAGAATGACTTTATTGAGTATGTAGAAATTCCATCGATAATGCTTCTCAATCCTGTCTATTTATTTCAATATAGACATAAGAAGATTAAAGTTGTTGAGGAGATTAATGGAAGATTAAAAGCAAAAGAAAAAGTTTCAAGAGAAAAAAGTACTTACCAATAAAATATTAGAGTTTTTCTAAAGGAAATGGCATGCTGGAAGTGGTCTAATGGCAAAAATATGAA